GCATTGGAGTTCCAATCTGAATTCCAAGTTCCTAAGAAAAAAGTAAAAGGAATATTAGTATGGTAATATTCCCAAAAAAATTGACTATACTTTTCTCTTAACTCATATTTTTCCAAGATATTGGTATCTAAAATAATAAATTTTAGATTTAAGAAGTTGCTTTTAAAGAAAAATAATAAAAAGGAATATTAATAACATTCTAAACCAAATATTTTTTATTTAATAAAATGGCCTGTTGTTAAAAAAATATAACAGTAAAGGCCAAAAAAAAATTTTTATTGAATAAAACGGTTTGTTACAGACCAAAAAAAAATTATTTTATTTTTTTCTTTCAATAAAACGGTTTGTTAAAAGTCAAAAAATTGAAAAAAAAATTATCTATTATCAATCAGATTAGTCGTCAATTACGTATTTTCAAAAATTTATGTATTATACTATGCGTAATGCTGCTTATTAGGGAATTCCAAGGCATTATGCTGCTAATTAGTAGAATTCCAAGGCGGTATGCTACTAATTAGTAGAAAATCGCTGGAATTCCAAGGCGGTATGCTACTAATTAGTAGAAAATTGCCGGAATTCCAAGGCGTTATGCTGCTAATTAGTAGAAAATCGCTGGAATTCCAAGGCGGTATACTGCTAATTAGTAGAAAATTGCTGGAATTCCAAGGCGTTATGCTGCTAATTAGTAGAAGACCGCTGGAATTATATTGATATATATATATATATATTTTATTAAAAAATACCGTTGACTACGCAAATTAAAATATATGACATATATAAAAATGATTGTTATTATGCAAACTATATATATAACCTTTTAAAAAATCTCAAAATCTATGCAAATAAAATTTTATGACTTTTGGAAATTTTACTAATATGGTTAAGCAAACTTACATGTGACCTTTATATGTATTTTTCGGGGTCCTGCAGGGACGCATAAAATTTTAATCCTTAAAAATAAGGTGGTCCTAAATATTTTTTGTATCTTGTTTACTACTTTTTTTGATCGGTAATCATTTGATTCACTGTATTATCAATTACGCTCAATTGTCCTAATAATACTCCGTAGAGAGTTTTATTCGTATCAGTTAAACCATCTCCAATAATTTGAAGCCACTAAAATAATAAAAAATAAGGGTTATTACATTTATTCAAATACATCAAATTACGTATTTCAACACATTACCTTACCTTACATAATTCATTGATACTATCTCTAAATTTTTCATTGTTTCTATCAGCACATGTATTGAAATTAACTATAAAGTCAAATTTCAGGAGTTGAATAGTAGAATCAAATTCTTTATTTAAATAAATAGTCGCCTTCTCAATATCACGTTTACTTAATTCTTTTAATTGTTCTGTAAGAAATTTATGCTTAGCATCAACATTGTTAACTAATTTTTGTAAATCAATATAATTAGTGTTAGCTTTCGAAAAAAAATCTTTATATTTTTCTCCAAAATTTTTTAAATATTCTAATTCTCTTCCGAATGATTGTACCATATCACATATTTTTTCATTATTCTCGGCTGTTTGATACATGTCTTCTCCTATCTCAAGTATTTTGCTCCGCACTTCTATAAGTGGTAAAAAACTCGCAGAATTTTCTCCTTGTTTGTCACTTTCTTGATCCGTAATCATTTGATTCACTGTATTATTAAGTACGCCCAATTGTTCAAGTACTTTTGAGACAATTTCATTCGTATCAGCTAAATAACCAATAATGTACTCAAGATACTAAAATAATGAAAATAAGGTTATTACATTTATTCAAATATGTCAAATTACGTATTTTAACATATTACCTTAGATAAGTCTTCGATATCTTGTTTAATTTTTTCATTATTTAAATCAGCACGTTCATTGAAATAAACCATGAGGTAAAATCCAAGGATTTGAATAATAGAATTTAATTCTTTATTTAAACCAATAGCTCTCTTCTCAATCTCATTAGCATGAAAGGATTTACTTGATTCTGTTAATTGAGAAATGTTAGTAAAATATCTACGTATCTCAGCAACAATATTATTAGCTAATTGTAAATTATCTTTATGTACTTCTTTACGATTTTTTAAATTCTCTATATTTTCTATGACTATTCCGGCTAACTGTACTCTATCTAACATTACATCACATATTCTTTCAATATGCTCGGCTGTTTGATATGTATTTACTCTTTTCTTAAGTATTTTACTTAATTCTTCTATAAGTGATACTTTTATGTCTTCTAAAGTAACAGGAACAGAATTTTCGCTCTGTTTACTACTTTTTTGATCCGTAATCATTTGATTTTCTGTATTAATAAGTATGCTCAATTGTCCAAATACTTTGGAGAGATTTTTACTCATATCAGTTAAACCAGCTTCAATAATTTTAAAATACTAAAATAATAATAAAATAAGGTTATTACATTTATTTAAATTATCAAATTACGTATTTCAACACATTACCTTAAATAAACCTTCGATATCAGCCATAATTTTTTTATTATCATTATCAGCACGTGCATTGAAATAAACCATGAAGTCAAATTCCAGGATTTTAATGGTGGAATCTAATTTTTTATTTAAATTAATAAACACCCTTTTAATATTTTTAGCTTGAACAAATTTACTTAATTTTGTTGATAGAGAAACTTCTTCAATAAATTTTTTCATCACACGCATAACATCGACTAATTTCCGTAAATTATTATAATTATCTTCCGAAAAAAAATCTTTGTGTTCTTCTTTATGAATTTTTAAAATTCTTACGGCTGTTTCGGCTATTTGTATCCTATCAACCATTTTACTACATATTTTTTTATTATATTGCCCTGTTTTAATAAGATATATTATTTTTTTTATAATAAATTTTAATATTTTAATTGTTATTATAAATGGTAATAAAGATAATAAATAACTTAAAAATTGTACTGCAACTTCAACAATAGTCGACATAATTGTTAGAATAATAAAATAAAATTGTTTCGAGATTAAAAAATTTTTTTTGTTTGTGCTTAATTTTTCTGTAGGCGTTTTTTCTTTGATATTTATCTAAAAAAAAAAAAAAATCTTTATGCTAATCACTTACCAAACTTAATCATCATCTCAATAAGACGGTATTTGAAACTTAGCCCCAATCGCCTCATTTTTAATAGTAAAATACAAAGTATAGTTATTTCATAATGCTGGTAAAATACGTAATATAAAATCTGGTGTGATTTTCCGCTCCAGAACAATCGATTTGCGCTTATATTATACTTTATCTTAAAAATACGCCCTACTTGTGTTACTATTTTTATTCGCCAAATAAAGACAATATAATAAAGAAAACACTACACGAGACGTTTTAGATTGGCAAAAGTTCATTATAATGAAAATTTGGGTTTAAGCTTATGGTGTAACACAAGTGTATCGTAATTCTTGAATGGACTAAATTATTAATGCATGTGACATTGTGGCAAACCTTATACACTTATTTAGGTAAAACACATATTAAAAGGGCTTAATTTATGTGAAATTTTTTGATACAAAGCTGCATATCGGGAGAACACAATAAGCATTGATTTCTACCAAAAAATAAAGTCTGGATGCATTTCGTTATTTATTATTGATCTTTTTTTTTTGACATCTTTCTTACACACTTAATAATAATGTTTATGGAGGAAGAAATTAGCGATAAAGATCATAAAGATGATGATGATATTGAAGTTGCGTCACTCAACGAAGTGATAGTAAAGTCGACGGTCGAAAAAATGGAAATTGATAATAGTCGTGATGCTCATTATGGAAATAAGATATCATCAGTATCTATATCTCCCAACGGTACATATGCCGTCACATATTGCGGCGATGATAACTCAATTGAAGGATGGATTATAGAAGATTCTAAACTGGTTCTAAATTCTAAATCTCCATTTAAATTGAGTGATTCTTTTTATATATTAACAGAAAAATCAATTAGGATTAAAGTTAATAATAGCCAAATTGTTTGTTGTTATACACGGAATAATTATTCAGGTTATGATGATAAATATATTAAAATAGAGGTCTATCAAATGACAAGTGAACCTCGATTAATTAAACTTAATCCGCCGATTAAATTTTGGCCCGATTCATATGAATGGCCTATTTTCAATTTCAAAAAAAATAACGATCTTATAATTTTTCAATCAAATATACTTTCAGTTTACTCTCAAAATAACAAAATAAATGGGGATTTGATTTTAAAATCATCATCTAGATTATCAGGTAGAATAATAGGAGTAACAATTGATGTGGATAATGATAATATTTGGGCTATTTCTGACAATTATCTATTTAAATGGGACTTAGAAACACTTGAATTGAAATTTAGTTATTCTCTTGGGTTTACGGTGATTTATAATATAGATATGAAAGATAAAGATTTGACAATAATATCTAAGGCAAATTTGACGATCGTAAAATATTATAATGAAATTGTCATTTTTTCTAAAGATGTACATTATCCAATTCGAAAAATCCAAACAGAAATTTCTAATATTAAAGTAAAATTGCTATATGATTCGCAAAATTACTATCTTTTGGTTTTTAATATGCCTAAAAAAGACGAAAAGCAGAATATATTCTTATATCATCCAAGTGATATCAATAAAAAACCTGTAGATATATCAAAAATTTTTAAGGAAGATAACTCTAATAATAATTTTATACTTTATGAGTATAATTCAGAATCAAAAGTAGCAATTGGATTAGTTAATGGAAGATTTTCATGTATTAATTTATCAAATAAGAAATGGCATGAATTTTTTGATAAAGAAATCGAAGAAAGTTCTACTCCTTTTGAGAAGGATGTTTGCAATGATACTTTACTTGTCCCTGATATGGAAAATATTAAATCATTATTTTTAAAGAAAAGAACAATAATATATACGTTTAAAATGCTAGAATTCAAAGATAAAAAATATCATTGGAGGATATTAAAAGAAGGTAATGGATATGTACTTTCAGTTTTAGATAGTAATGGAGTTTCATGTTCAAAAAAAGTGATTCCACGATTAAGAAACTTTGAAATTCTTGGAAATAATGCATTGGTAATAAGGTTAGATAACTATCAGCTAATAATATTTGAGTATGATCATGATAATAAGGAAATTAAAGGCAAATATTACTTTAAAGTTGAACCTTTGTTTGGTTACTTTCATAAAAAAACCAGATTTTTCTTCTATTACCCTCTAATTTACAATTTTATTATAGAATCTTCATTTATAAATAAATTTTCAGGAAATATATTACCTATAACAGATATAAATACAGTTGGAGTATGTAAAAAAAATACGGATTTTTATGCAATATGGTCAGAGATGATCATTAGTCTTATTGAAGATGATAAATATTTTGAGAAATATGGAGCAACTTTATTACCAATGTTAATAAAATCAAATGATCCAAAATCAGCTCATCATATAAAAGAGATATATAATAAATGCATTAAACTTGTTAAGGAAGATTTGAAGAGAAATCTGAAATTACTTAATATTATTACATCATCTATGTATGACTTATATAAAAAATATCCTGATTATTTAACACAGTTTAATTCTGAAATGTTTTTGGTTTTAGACCCATATTTTGAAAAAACTAATAATAATAGCAATGAGTATTATTCACATTTTCACACTTTTACTCAAGAAATAGATAATAATAAAATATTCAAATTAAGACAAATAATAATAAATTGGATAATTGGGATATATACATTTATAACTCTCAGAATACTTCAATTTAAATCATATGATTTTTCTGAGAATTTTGATGATGATTATGATGATGATGATGATGATGATGATGATGACTATATATACTATATTTTTCGTAGACTTCGTTTTGGTTACAACTTAATAATTGATAAATACAAAAAAATGCATCCTAAATGGTATATTTTATATACTATTGGGATTATATTGGTTATTATATTGACGCCTATTTTAATTCTTTTATTTGTGATTTTTACAATTTATTCGAAGATTTTAGATATTATTTTCATATATACTGTTACCTTAACAGCCTATTTATTGATTTTACCATTTATGATTGTTTATTTAGTTTCCATATATTTTGATAAAAAACGTATAGCTAAACAGTGTATTATTTTTATCGTACCTTATATAAATTATTCTAGTTACCCTTCAAAATATAATTGGTGGAAAGAAATAATTTATCCTCCATCAAATAACTTTATTAAGACTTGCAAAAAAGAATTTTACACAAATTGGAATGGTGAAGCAGTTATTGATTTTAAATGGAAAAAATTTGGAAGATTATATTATTTTATTATTTGGTTAATATTTATAGCTTTTCTTATATGTTTTACAATTGCTTCTTACCCTACAAATTCTTTATCACAAGAAATTCGTATTAAACTTTACAAAACTTCAATTGCTTTTGGATTTTTTCATCTTATATTTGAATTAAGACAATTTATCTGGAGTCCAAAGAAATATTTGAATATTTGGAATGTGTTTGGTAAGCTTATATCAAAGTTCATTTGATTTTTTTATTATACTTAACGTCTAACTTTTTTTTTTTTTTACAAATAAAACAGATTTAAGTGCATATCTTTCAGTTACTATCACATCAATTTATTTAATTAAATATGATAATGTACCAGACTGGGCATTATCAGTTTCATGTTTATTATTAGATTTAAAATTTTAAAGCTTCTTGGAATGGAAGATAAAGATATTGAAGAGGATTAAAAAGATTATTGTCTTGAAATGACAGTGAAATTTAAAAATTTTTTTATTGGGCAAAGTGGTTTTTTTCAATGATATCATATAAATATGTTTAAATAAAAATTTGTATTTAATATGGTTTTAAAAATGTTTCATATAATAAAAGTCATTTTGAAAATCACGTTAAAAGTTAAAATTCCATTTCTGAGATAAAAAATGGCATTCTTTTAATGATATTTTTTTTACAACTTTTTAAAATATTAATAAGTCATTACTAATGTATTTTTGTAATATTAATTAATTTTAGATATCAACTTTAAAATCAGATTATAATTCAATTTAAAATTCTCGTAATATATTGTAGTTTGCGCTAGTAATTTTTTTTTTTTCGCAGCGCATTTATAGATTTATTAAAGTAAAATAAATAGAAAATTTACTGCACATAATGTACGAATATATATGCTACTCTAATATTATTGATCTATAAACCACTCATCATTCTACGTATGAGAACCCCACGTGTGCACTGTCGGATGCTCAGTAGGTATGTCACGTGTGAAACGAGAAATCTTAGCGAAAACGCCCTACAGTCTAAGCCTGGTAGACCACAAGACCCAGCTGGTTGTAAATTGTAATTAATTAAATTATAAACTTACATGTATATTAATATTTATTAGAATTTTTTATTAAATTTACTACAGCAGCTGTACTTTTTTTTTAAGCTGCGGTTTGCCAAATAGCATATATTTATTTTAATTTAGGCCAGCATTATAAATTTGGCCGGAATTATAAAATAAAAATTATAATTTAGCCAAAAAAATAAGTCATAGTCCATTTAGATTTGGAATTGGACTGGACATCTCCATTAGGTCCAAAGTCCAATAGTCCATTACTGGGAATTGGACAAAGTCCAATTCCAACACTGAACTCGGGTAATCATTCCATTATGAAACGTAGGTTGTAATGTCCATCTAAAGATCGGACTTCTTGAAATTGTCTTTTATACGGATTGAAAGTTTTTGTTCCAATGTCTAATAAAATTTGTTCATGATTAATAAAAATATTTTTGTGTAAGTATGTGAACAAGTCCAAAGATGGTGATTCGATTGTTGACGATGAAAACACATAATAGGGTTCAGTATCAGTATAGGAAAGTGTAGAAACATCAGTAGTTGGCTATTTATTATATATCATGTGTATCACATGATATATTATTATTAACGACTGTAAACTTTTTAAACTTTCTTTTTTTTTACTTTTAACTAAATTTTTAACTTAAATTTTTAACTTTATTTTTTTGGATTTTTTTTTTAACAAAACTTCTTTCCTCTTTTACCTCTCTTTCATTCTTCCCTTTTATCTATCTTGTTCTTACAATATCCTTATCTGGTTTATTCAGGTTGGGTGTATTTCTTTTTAATACTCTTATTCGAAAAAACAAAAAATGAATACCTGTATAGTATAGTTTAAAAAACTATACTGTAATGATTTTCGTCATCGCCACTATACAACATCGGAGGTATACTCGATATCGTTTAACCGTTACCATAACTTTAATTGACGTTTTACTAAAACAGATGCCAATTTCCTTAATATGCATCAACTTTATACATACGACTTACTTAAACTTATCGTGATGGTATAATACCATACCATGACCAAATCTTGATACGATAAATTTTGACTGAATAGTTTCTGCAATGTTCCACTAATGATGTCCCATGATTGTATTCGCTCGCTTTACGTTCACATAAGTAAATTTAATTAAAATCTGTATATGACTTCTCTCTTCCCCTCTCACTCTTCTCTCTCTCGTTTTCCCCTACCTTTTCTCTCATACTTTTGTAGGACAGTTCCTTGAAATTTTCTTTAATTTCAGTGATTCTCTTTGAAGGATGTGTAGATCGGTGTCTTGGAATGAATTGGTAAGTTTATTTTTTTTATATTTATTTTGGTTTTTTAAATTTTTTTATTAATTTTTTTATCTTTTATTTTGTAGATATCAACAGATTGCACTTCCTGGATCGAATTGATAGGTTTTAAAGCGTTACCTTTTTTTAAAGTTTTTTTTATTTCTTTTTTGTAGGTTTCAGCTTTCTGAATCCTGGATGATAGGATCGAAGGATCGATCAGTAAGTTTTGAAATGGTTTGTTTAGAAACTTTTTTTTTAAAATTATTATTTTATAAGAGCAGAGTTGAGTTTCATTTGGAAAGGATCCGATATATACTATCTTAGTTCTAGATATTAAGGTTGAACCGGAATGAGCAATCGCAATATTGTATTCCTTTGGTGCAATACACTTAAAAGAAATAAAGTGACGAGTCTTTATATAGTCCTCAGCATTAATTTTGTATAAGTCAAAAAGTCGACAAGCAGAAACTAAAGCTATTAAGAACTGAAAGTGATCTTACAGTATATGAAAGGTCCCTGATTGATATAGAGGAATTGTCACTAAAAGCAATAATATAGTCCAATGAAGGGGATCATTCTTAGATATATACAAAGCATATATATGCATAGCCTTGACAATATCCAGATGATTTCCAATCTAGTGGTCTGAACCGGTGAACACAATCTGTTGATCCGTCAGATATGTCCGTTAAATTTGTTGAACGGATAGTTTTCACCAGATCAGCAGAAATTAAGTGGAATGAGTGGATATCTGGCAGATATCCACTTCTGATCGGAATGTTAACTTTTAGCACTTTTGTTATTTTTCCCAATTTCTCATATTTTTCGTGAATAAATTTCTAACAACATTCAAATAAATGAAAGCGCTGAGTTTATAATATAAAAATTACTTTAATGTTGTTGTCACTAAAAAAATAAAAAAAATTACAATGAATGACAAAAAAATTGTGTTTTCATATTTGGTGATTAAACACTTCCATTACTTTAATTAATTTGTTTTCGTTTTCTCGTGTAAAAAAAAAGTCGTTCCGTTTTTTTGTATTTCATCTTTTTTCCATAAAAGGCTCATATTTCCGGAATATATCACGGAATTTTATCAAATTTTTTACATTTTCCGTGAATGGATCCGTAAAAGGCTCATTTTTACGGAGTTTTTACAAAATAATGGATAAAATTTTTTTATAAAGTTTCGAAGTTAGCAGAACATCATGAAACTACGAAAGTGAATTCATATGTTAAATGTTTATATTATTTCAAGTTGTTTTACTGTTAAGTGCTAACTGAACGTTTGAAAAATTATTTTATCAAATCAAGTATTTCAAAAAAAAAAAAAAACCCCCCGTAAAAAATTTAAAATATAAAGACATCGAAAATCTTTTCCCTCTGTCTCACTTAACATTAACAAAATATTCCGTCATTTAAAAAAAAAGGAAATATGACATATGGAAAGTGTAATAACCGAAATTTACAAACTGGTGTTAAATGTGGATGCCTTAGATCTCGTGTCCAGTCCATTAATGATCATTCATGCAAAGCCTGTAAACACGATCTGAACTATCACGAAATCAATCAACCCCAATCATCGAAAAATTTTTACAACTTGAAAAATAATCGTAAAATAAAATCTATTCACACGAAAGGTTTATTACTTTCAAGTTGATCGATATAGTCGGTGGAAAACCAAACCAAAAAATACCTAGAGAGTAAATATACATATAATTTTCATTGGTTTATTTGTTTTTTGTTTTCTTTATCAATTATTATTAAAATTTACCATAATATAAAATTAAGTGTTAAAAAATCGGGTAAAATGAAATCAACTCGCTTTACTGAAGTATCAAATATTGGAATAAAAAATGCAGTTGAATCATCATTTCCTCATTTTATGAACAAGCGTTGGCAATTTTTCCGTCATACGTCAATATCAGATCTTGAGATCGCTTGTGAACCAAACTTTGGATGGAGTGTCGATGCATTAAAAAGGTAAACCAAATTAAATTTTTGTTGTCTTTGCTGTCATTTATTTTATTAAAATTTAAAACTCTATAATTTTTATCAGTATTGCTTGTGCTAGCCGTAGGGATTGGAATCGATTCTCAAAATGAGAATCGATTTAAGAATCGATTAATCGCGATTAATCGAATCTCGAAATTCGATTTTAAGATTCGATTTTCTATTTCGATTAAATCGATTCTAATCGATTCTATGCATCAAAAAAAAAAAAAAAATAATAATCATCATTAGTAAGTATATAACAATCTGAGGTGAAAATTATGAGTGCTTTACCTTTCGGGAACCAGATAAGTTCTAGGTCTGTCTCTTATACACATCTAGATGTGTATAAGAGACAGCATATATATATATATATAAAGTTGTATAAATCACTAAAATCTATTTCGTAATGGTTAAAAGTGGTCTAAATAACCCTAAAAATGCTAAGTTTGGTATGCTTAATTGATGGATATTTGACCACTTTTAGGGTCATTTAGACCACTTTTAGGTCATTTAGACCACTTTTAACCATTAACTAAAAAAGTCAACTTTATTAGGTTATACAGTTAACTCCGGCCAAATTATAATTCCGGCCGAAATTAAGCGGCGAGAATCACCTGCGGTGAGATTTAGCAACGCCATATTTAATTTTTATGTTCAATTAATATATAAATTAAAGTAATTTTATTGTGCATTAACTAAAGGAAAATAAATTAATTTATGTAAAAATAATAAAAAAAAATTAATTAATTTAAAAAAAAAGCTAAAAAAAATCGAATTACTGCGCCACAATAAAAGATTCGATTATTTAATTCGATTTTCGATTAATCGATTTAGATTCGATCTTCGATTAATTCGATTTTGCTAGAATCGATTCCATTCTCTAGCGCTAGGAGGAAATTGTATGTAGGAATTGTACATGATCCGATTCAAATGACTTCCTCGTTAATTTATCAACCAATTCGACCAGATAATATAACTTCGGAAGTATCAGGCATCGATTTTAAACAATTCTTACAACAAAATTTTATGTCACTAAATGTAGTGGAATTCGCCATGTGATGACGCAAAAAATTAATTTACTCATAAATATTTTTGAAATTGTCAGGTATATTATTCTGCAACCAACCTGTTGGATTAACTATGCATCCTTTTCTCTGCTTATAGGTCTTCTAAAAATCGAAAGTTGTCTGGCGCATAGTTTTGATTATTACGGTATATTTATATTATTTTTAAATTTATAATTTATTTCAATTAGTAAAATTTGTTGTTAAAAATGTTTAAATGTAATAGTTTTTATGTATTCATTCAGCTATTTCGTTCAAAAATAAATTGGTATAATACGGAACAACATTTAATATTTATTGAAAGCATTTTTTTTTTAATACAAATTGAATGTTGGAGAATGGTTATAAAATCCAAAAGACGAATTAAAATTTACTCATTAAAATAAAAAAATATTGGGTATTGCTAAACATCACCGGTTGTGATGGTCACCGGTGGTGAAATTATGATGTAATGCTGGCCAGTATTTTATTAGATTTTTAATTCCGGCCTAAAGTACATCATAATGCTGGTAAGGTGATGGTGAACTTTAGCAATTTTCAAAAATATGTATATATAGAAGTGAATTTTGTTTTTGTTCCGTCTACGTATCACGAACTAATTTTTATTTTGATTCAATGCAATTTTTTTATGTAATCTTTTTACCAATAGGTCGGTTCTAAATTTGGATCAAATGATATTTATAGTCATAGTTTATCCACAAAGATTACATCAAGATAACAAATTTTAAATCTTGTGCTTATTGAGTTCACCCCCTTTCAAATCAGCTGATTTCTGGCGAGTAATGTGGTAATAAAATAATTTTGTAAATTATGAGAAACTTTGTTTCTATACAGTATTGTATACTACAAAAAAGCATTATAAACATCTTGTGTCTTAAATGACGTTCGTGCGTATATACAGTATGGTCGACGATTCTTTTGATACTACTAGCTGCAAACAATTATGCAATTTAATATTAAATAGTACTATATACTGAGTGTTATATTTGTAATACATAATACCTTTTTCCTTATCACTGGAATTTTTTTCAACTTTGTATATTACACTGATTGGCTCTATCGCCAGCTATCGCCCACATTTAATTTGCATAATATCTTGGAAAAAAATTTTCGCATCTTTAAAATATTAAAGAATATTGCTTTTAATAAACTTGAAGTTAATTTTCATACTTTAAAAAATTATTTTTCATACTTTTAAAATTTTGACCATATTTTAATAAAAATATAATTGTTGTCCGGAGCGAAGCGAAGGACAATATACGCACTATGAAAAAAAAATCGATCACGTGAATTTCTCTGTCCGCCACGTGATCGTCACCCAATAATTCGCAAATTTAGCTTTTTCGCTCCCGTTTCCCAGTTTATTTATAATTTTGCTAAATGCTCCCAGGATACGACAAGTGATCCTGGCTAAATGCCAATAAAATTGATAAAACAAATAAAGATATATAAATTATTAAATAAAACAATGTGAAAATTTTATTTAATTTAATATCTGTTTATTTTATTAAGCATTATACACTAATGTCTGATAATGTCTGAAATGAGAAACGCGTCAATTAATACTACTACCCCCTTAATTCTATTCTATGATTGTTAAAATTATAATTATATAATACCCGGTATCACCTACGGGTATTATTCATTTTTAAATCGAATAAATTATAAAAGACCCGGGGTACTTTAGGCAGTTCTAGACGTTAAACGTAAATATATAAGCACAAAAAAACGTGTGGAAAATCCCTCAGGATGAGTCACGTGCATGATTGGTAGGAAAATTACAATAATTTTGGCCAGAATTTTTGAAGATTTTAAATTTAAAAAATCACGTGAAATTTTTTGCTACGGTCTGGTCCGGAAGACCGGAACTTAACAACGTTAAGACCATAGCTTTCGTTCCTAAACCACAAGTTCAGTAACGAGATTATTTACGGCGGAATTAGAGCGTTACTACGCTTGAAATCAGTAACAAACCGTTATTTTAATTGTCCGGAGCGAAGCGAAGGACTATATATTATGAAATGATCAATCACGTGACTTTCTATGTCCTCACGTGACGCCGTCCAAATCTCTTTTTTCGCACCGGACAACGGTTTTCGTTTCCTAGTTGATAATTGGATTTCAACGTTTAATAACGAAACACACTTCGAATGACCGACACCGACAACAGCAAACGTACAAACGTATAAAAAATTTTAAATTTTGCATAACTATAAATGTGAAAAAAATCTTATTTTTTTTATTATTGATTACATAGTCTCCTGCTTTATTAGTTGATCAAAACAATTATAGCAATAAAATTATAAAATCGAGACCAAAAATTTTCAAACATATTTATTCCTTTATGAACATAGAAATGTAAACTTATTATTTGAACTTTTATGGTTACATAACTTTAAATAATTTTTATGATCTAAATTGTATATTAAACTTTTTTTTTTTATTTTAATTAATTAGATTAACTTAGAAAAATACACGCACAACCTGTAGAACTTTTGTTCGTCTGCATTATTAATTTGCTTCATCCGGAAATACGTAATTCCACTATAAAAAAGGTCACGTGAACTTCTCTGTGCTCAACGATTATTTGATTGGTTTTTAATTACCAGAATTTTGTGTTCAAATTCGGGAATTACATAATAAAACAAAAATTTTTTTTTTTTTTGAACGCACTTTTTTTTTAACATATTTTAAAAGATTACACTAATGTTCCGTAAAATTTGAACCATATTTATCCGCCAGGATTCATTCTTACTGGAATACATGAATAATTTCCAATTCTCAATAGTCACATGAATTTTATGATTTTTTAATTTATTATCGTTGTATAAAAAAAAAAAAAATTTTTTTTTGTCTTACATTATACAAACTATAAAAAGACCCGCGACGCATTTTCAAAAAAAGTCTCAAAAACAATAAATCTTTTTACTTTCATATGAGATTTTAATGTTTTATTTTTTAATTTATTTATTTTTCTTTTTTTTTTTTCCTCACTAAACGTGAGCTTCTTAAAGTATAGTTATCTAATAAAAATTTAACTCTACATCCTATTCAAATCGTTTTGTATAAAAAAGAAAATATAAAACTTATCAAACGGCCTAATTTTCTAATCCTTCAAAAATATCAATATTTATATTCCTTATATGAGTTATATCAGTTTTTTATTTTCATTTTTTTTTTGTTTCGCTAGCGTGATATATACATTTATTTATTTTTATTTTTTTCAAGAAAAAATTCCTTCGTAACTTCTATTTTTGGTAGCCTCACAATTTTGTTACCTGCAAAGAAGTTATTTTATATTTCATAAGCTTCTTTTTAAGTAAATACGAATATATTTTACATTTATCTATATAACAAAAAAAAAATTTTGAGCAGAACAATGGCTTATACCGCAGCACTTGATTTGGATTTGGTAAACCAATCAACAATAAAAGTTCAACCTATACAAAACTATCATGAGTTTAGATTATTTTATCAACCACCAAATGATGATAATTTTTATCACGTAACTTTTAAACCGATTTTACAACATTCGGAAAATTTGGAAGATGATTACGATTTTGAGTTCTTTTATGGTGGTTATTATGTTGCGTGTAAACTATTTCCACGCTCCTTGATTATTGATATATTGAATAAGGAAATTTATGGAATTGATTTCGATGTAAACAACCTGAAATGTAAACATGCACTAATTTTGAAACAAAAGATTAATCTCGAACAAAGTTTAATTCCTTTTTTACAAGGAAAAGTTTTAAAAAGGTTCGTGTCCTAAAATTTCAAACTTTATTATCACTTTATTTGAATCTTGATTGATTGACATCATTATTATTATTAGGGATTTCTCAAGTACCTCAGTAGATCAATTTCTAACTACGCAACCGAACGAACTTGGATTATTTTATCAACCACCAAACGACATTAACATTTATAATGTTAATTGTAAAATTACTTTGCAAGATTATCATCAAAATGATGATGATAATTATGATTACGAGTTCTTTTATGAAATTTCAAATGATATGAGGCATGTTACATGTAAATTTTTACCACCTTCTTTGGTTATAAGTATATTGAACAAGAAAATTTATGGAATTGATTTTGATGTGAACGACTTGAAACGCAACCATAAATTAACTTTGCAACAAAAATTAAATCTCGAGCGAAATCTGAAGAAATTATTTCTTTACATTCCTGAGAGAGAAATGAGATCAGATTCTGATGGAAATAGTACGATTTCTTTTCAAGGAAGTATTGAAAGCAATACGACAAACGGTTTCGATAACTGATAATCAAAAATATTTCGATAATGCCATGCCCCACGACGATCACTAAGATATTACTACTCCAATTTGATGCAGTTATTTTTTTTTAAAAAAAAACTTATAAATTTAGATTAAAAATGAGGTTATAATGATTCTTAAAAATTTATTTATATTATTTTGAGAAAATTACTTAAACACATTTAGGGTTTATACAGTATTTACAAATTATCTGTTTATTAACTTATCAATAGAAATTTAGTTAATATGTTGTAAATTTAACGTTTCTTATAAATAAAAAAAAAAGAATAAATATTTTGGGACAGTTTTCTTGGATAAAAATTTATTAAATTTACGATAATATATGAAAATTTCGTTTCATATCTTAAATAATTTACGATAGTAGTGTAACTAATTGAGCAAGTTTAACGAAACTAAATTTACAATATTTAGATCTCTGTTTATTTATTACGAAACATGTTAGTTTTATACTTGACTCCGTCACGTCATTCTTCTAAAGATTTGTTTGCAAAATCACGTTGATTTATGGCTCAGAGAAAACTCAGAGAAATCTTTATTTGGCAAATGCAGGAGAAGTTACATTCAGTTTCATGTAACATGAAGATGCTATCTAAAATAGGATAAATTCAATGAATTTGAATGAAATCCTTGTGTCCCAAAATAAGTAGTATTTGAAAGCTTGTTTCATATTTTAGATTGAATGTGCGACGTCCTTTCATATATATAAACTAATATGGGCAAATATAGATTTCGCAAATTCACGTGATTATCCCAGCGTAGTAATACTTTTCATCACCGGTGTCACGCCCTTTTGAGTAGCAAAAATCCTATTTGTCACGCCCTAACTTTTCAGGTATTACACATTTTTGACTGACAAGTAATTTATTGATTGGAACCCACACGTGATAAAGCTGCGCATATGTATTATTTAACATGGACTTAATATAATAAAATAAAAAAAAGAAAAAATATTTTTTTTGAAATTTTTATCATAAAAAAAGTGAAGTGAGATACTTAAATATTTTTTTCATTGAAAGTTTCAAACACAACATACTCAGGAAGTGAAAAAAAGTGTTTTTCACCATTATTGTGCGTTTAGATTAGCCTGTATAAATAAATTTATACAACTGTACTACCATTATGTCACATGACATCAATCATTAAACCCGGTGATTGTATAGAGAAATCACTTTCTGATTTTAGATTAGCCTGTATTAATAAATTCGTACTACCACATTACTTTTCAGAATTAAAATTTTTTTTTTTTAAAAAAAAATTTTTTTTTATTATAAACTAGCTGTGACCTTATTGCGTAAAGCAATAAAGTAAAATAAAGTAACAAATCGGTAAAATTTTGTAAATATAAAAATTTTTTTTTTATTTGGTATAAATGAAAATTTTATTTGAAAATAAAAAAAAAATTTTTTTTTTTATTTGGAACAATAAGAATAGAATAAAAAAAAAAATTTCAATTTGCAATTTTTAAATATTTCCGCTTAATACTGCAACAATTCGACACGGTTGACCTAATCATTTAGTACACTTAACAGTTATAAAAAAAAAGTTAATTCTTATGAAAATGTCAATTCATGATTAATGAAAAGAATAATACTGCAAAGCAGTAAAAGAATAATACTGTAAAGCAGTAATATTGTATTAAATAGAATAGATGCTTTCGATTAACACATATCACACGTAATCTTTATATCTGTTTGTTACCCAACTTAGCACAGGTAATTTATTGGTTATTCTCTTGATAAATTCTAATGTTTAAAATTATAAAGGCAGATGTATAAAAACCAAAAAAGCTTACTTTTTTTTATAATTATTATTATATACGAATATTTATCATATATTAAATTCTTATTTTATTTTATTTTACTTTATATTTTTATTATTTTTTGGGGTGGTTTTTTTTGAATGAAAATCCAATAGATTTGCACTTCATTTATTTAAAGTGCGTAGTGAAATATCATCTGCAACTATAGAAAACAACTGATAATAAAGTATATTGTTGTTAAAGTCTTTACGGAACATCAGTTATTGGACAAACGGCAGCCTGTAGTTGTCAAAGGATTTGTTACTCATGTAATCATATCTCATTTCATTAATACACTATTAGCCGGATATATCTCTCGTTCGACCTTAACCATTATCATCTATGACTTAATTTTAATCACTCCGATTCAACACAAAATACTACAAGAACCAGACGTAAGAAAGCTCTTAAAATTTAAAATATTTTGCCTAGTGATGTTATACAACCAGATTTATGTATAAAAGAATTTGTATCATATGAAAAATAATGAGTTTACTATACACGTGCAAATATATGTTTTTGGCTTTCTAAGCTTTTTTTAAAGACTTTTAAATATTTTTCTTTATAGAACTAGTAAAAAGTTGAAGGGTACTTTTATTTGTGAAATGGGTAAAAAACGCTTTTTTTTTATTATTGTTATTATCCCCGAATTTCATTAGTAACGCATAACGGCAGTGGCGCAGCCGGACGGATTGGCAATCGATCGGCACATACAGTATATTATTCTATTGAGAATGATCGATGCAAAAGTGAATTCAATCAACGCAAAAGAAAAAACGAAAAAGCGTTATTAAATACTATTAATGGTAGATAAAAGGTTCCATATAACGATTTAATTTATAATAAAAATTAAAAAGGGGTGATACAGTATGAAGAAGAACAAAAGATTGATTTTTTTTTATTTAATCTTTTGCGCAGGAAATGATTTGTAATTTTATTTAGTATTATAATAAAGTTATTAAAAATAAATATCGTAATTTTGTTGTTCGTTTTATTCAGAAGAAATTGTTTGTCATAATCAGATTTCCAGACTTTGCATTCTATTTAATTGATAACGAAATTCGAATTATAAAAACGAAAGGAATATCGAATTTATATAATCAGAAAGTAGTTCCATTGAAGATTTGAAACGTAAATAGATCCGAAATAAATTTGTATGACGGATTTAGTGAATTTGATGCATACAATTTAATCGTATAAAATAAATAACAAAATTATTACAAAACTGTGTCACTTTATGAAGAATAAAGAAAATCGTGCCAAAAATAAAAGTTTTCTTTCGTCTTTTCCAAAGTAATCATAGTTTAAAATAATATCAATATCAGTCCAGTTACTATTTATTACTATACATGGAACAAAAAGGATCTCTTTTTTGAATCTTAATTGAAGAAAAAAAATCTTCAAAATATTGTTTTATACAGAATGTATGATGACGCAGCATGTGTCAGGACTCAGGATAAATGGCGATCACATTGTAAATCATACTTATTTAGAAGTGATGAAATATTTAGACGTCATAGTTCAAGTTTATCACAATTTATTCTAACCACTTTCTAACCTAAATCTTTCATTGGTTTAAAAATAATTCAAATTTAATTCGAATAAATCACATATATCACATATAGTTTATATATACATTTAGTTATATATCACATACAGGTTTCATAAACTAAAATCATAAAAATTAAATAGTCTTAGATCTACCCAATAATAAATATTCTGTTTATATTAACAACAAAAATAAAAAAAAATCCCGTTTTTAATACTGCTACTGCGGTTTTTACTTCTCGTTTTTCTTACAATTTCTAATCAGTTTCGCTTACAAAGAAAAGGTTATATACCAGTATATACCAGTATAATACAAAAAAGACCCAGTAAATAGTTTTTGTATAAAATTGTACCAAATGGGCTCATCCATATATAATTGGCTCTAGATTGGCTTAAATTTGGGTTATTTTTTGCATAAATATGAGCTAATTTCGAGCCAATGAGCCCGTTTGGTATAAATTATACAAAAACTATTTACTGGGAGAAGAAACCACACAAAAAGATTTTGATTCCATTTCCAGTTTGAAGCAAAAAAATATATTCATTTGATAAAGTTTGAATTGATAAAATTGTTGAAAGAGCAAATAAACAACAAAAAATGATTAAAAAGTTGTAATATATTTTAACTGAACGTTTTAACGTTTAATCCTATTATGGATCATCATATTTCGCTCTACGAAAAAAAATGCGTCCGGAAAATATTCTGAAATTGTCCAGAATATAATTGTACAAATTCCGGACAAATGAGTGTCCTGAAAACATCCGAAAACGCGCAAGATTTGGAACATTTTCCGGACATTGATTTTTGTTCGAAATTTGTCCGGATTTGGAATTTGTCCGGAAAAATGATTTTCTGTTCTCTAAAATGATCGGCAAGTCATTGCTTGCTTTGATTTTTTTATTGTCCAGAATTTGACTGGAATATTTTCTTGTCCAACTACTAGAATTTGTCTGATTTTTTTTGTCACAGATTGTCCAAAATGCGTCCAGGATTTTTTGTGTCCAGAATTTGTCCAGTTTTGTCTAACCGAAATTTGTCCTGAATTTTTCATGTCTGGACAAATTCCGGACTTGAAAAACATATTTTTCATAAATGATTTATGTGGACGTGCAGGAACATGACCTTTTTTCACAAATTATATTTCACTTCTTCCTTCGCGATGTGTTTGAGTTGCTGGACCTGGCCCTGCTTCAGGATCCTCTTTCAGTTCTAACTTTAGGATCTCTTTCTATCTTGGTCAGTTTGTAGCTAGTATAGCTCTATAAAAAATAAATGTCCATAAAATACCATCAAAATGTCTGGAAAATATCCAGAAAACATTTGATATGTCTGGAAATTGTCCGGTTTTTTGACACAAACATGATGTTTAAAATTTTGATGTTTAGTATAGGCATTCAGGATGTATTCCAGACATAGAAAACTGGACAAATTCCGAACATAGTAAAATTCAAATAATTTGAACTGTACAAATTCTGGACATAACAAAATTCCTGGATGCTAGTTTCTAAAAAAGGATAAATTAATTTTACAAAAAAATGTAAAAAGCAAGAAACTGACATTCAAAACATACTAATTAAATTTGCTGAGCAGGCAAAAATACTATATATCTGTGATGTTACTAAATTCTGGACAGACCAGCGTCGCCCCAAGATTTTCACCCCACGTGACCTGCATAAAATGTCACCCCGCGTCACACCCCACCGTTTTCATTTTTTCATAAGTATTCTGGGGACAGAAAATTTCTAGTGGTGAAAAAAATTATTTTCACGCCCCTTAAACATCACTGATCACGTGGGGGTAGAATTTTAGGGCGATACCAGAGACCCGGGAAAATTCCATTTTTATAATAAATGAATAAATCAGAATTTTTGCTGTATTATGGAATTTTTATGATTTTTAACAATTTTATTCCGGCACGTGACAACTAGCCAATCATTATTGCATATTTTATTGACTATATCGTGATAGAAGTCTAACTAAAAAATGTGATTTTGCAATTTTGTAATATCTATACAGTTTTTGACTAAAAATTATTGTCGTGTCACTAGCGCAACCTAAGTTGGCCTGCATTAAGATGTAGGCCGGCTAGAATTATCAAATGTTTCTTACTATAATTGGTAATTTTTTATCGGAATAAAATCGGAATTTTTTTCGTTATCGTGATAAAAATTTGCGATTTAATATCGGAATAAATCCGGGTCTCTGGGCGATACTGGACAAAACCTGAATGTCACATGTCCTGGACATTTTCTGGACAATGAAAATGTGCAATTTTTTCCTTTCCGGACACATTTTTTTTATAGGGATTGGCTAGAATTAAAATCTAATAAAATACTGACCGGCATTACATCATAAATTCACCGTCACCACTGGTGATATTTAGTAACACCCAATAAATAAATAGTAATAACTATCAAGTTAATAACACTACTATAGTACAATTAAGTTTATAATCTTTTTTTTTGTTTCTTCTCACTTCGTTTTAAATAGGACCCAGAAATATATATACAGGGGTAGGGTACACAGATGCGTCGCCATCATAGTGGAATTAGACGGAGTAAAGTTTTGATTTGCGTAAAATTTTAGAATTTTTCATCTATAGTTAGGTCATCAAGATTGCGTATTTTTTATCAAAATTTTTATATGTAAAAAATTAGTTTGCGTATTTTTGACCTAAATTTGGCTAATCTTATATATATAATATATTTACTGTACGTACTTATTTAATTAACCGAATTGTAAGAAATTTCTAAGGGTTAAAAAGTGAAATTTTAGAAATACCTGTCTCTTATACACATTTCTAAGGGTTAAAAAGTGAAATTTTAGAAAAATATTATTAAAAAAATGGTAAATTCTATTTTTTCACATTAGTATTTTGTTTTATAAATAATATAGAAGCCATGATAAAATAATTAATAATTGCGTATTTTTGCAGGATTTTCAATATCAGGTGTCAATTATGCGTACTACTCATATAAAAAGTCTCTGCGTGAATATTTGCTATATATGATCGGCAAAATTTGAAAGTTAATTTTTTTACGTATCAAAAAATAAAAATGAGAGATTATAATATTTTTCATATTTCAAATAAAGATAATAAATATAAAAATAGTTAAATTTTAATATCAAATTAATTCAAAAACAGATGATATTTACACAATTGATCACTGTAAATAAAAACTTCGGTAAATTCCGACAAATAATGACGTAAAATTTATTTAACGATAAAATTTCGGAATTTGAATTCACCACGTATCGTATCTGATTTTGGATATTTGTATGAAAAAAAAGGTATTATTCAAAATTGATGTTTCCAATTTGTGGTTCTGATAAATCGGTGGAATCTCACGTGCCCTCACGATATTACGGCAGTATTGAAACAATTATTAATTCGGACTTGTATTTGATGAGATTTCTGTAGATAATTACTTTAAATTAAAAAAACCTCTCGGATTAAGTATCAAAAGTTAAACCAAACCAAATAAACTCTGAATGAATAATATAAAAATAGTTAAAATTTATATCATCACGTGATTCCTTAATACCAAATACAGAATACAGATTTCGGTTATGTCCGTTAGATATTGGGGAAGAAACTAAATAATGACGTAAGGAAGCCAATCAATCATTTTATTAAAATTAAACTTTTTAAATGATAAACATCAGGTACTCATTGGCGAAAAAGGTATTATTCAAGTTTGACAATTCCTTCATTGACAGTTAAACATAACCAGATAAACAGCAAGTCTCACGTGACCTTTGGCGAATTTTATTTGAAAAAACAAATGTTTTTTATTCCAATCAATAATTTTATGACAGATAACACTTAAAGGTAATGCTAATATGGATATATATATATATCAGGTTTCTAACATTTATTAAACAGGTCTAAATTTCAAATATTTAAAGGGTTCAAAAGAAATTTACAATTTTATTTTTTCATCTTTCATAAAAAAAATTCTTAAAAAAATGGAAGTTTTCGAAAAATTTCAATGTGGTTGTAAATGCGGTTGCTGCTGCGTTTGTGGTTGTAAACAAAATCCTCAGATACTATTTCCAGTAGCGTCTTATCAACCTTACCAAACTATCGTTCAGTCGAATGTTGGATATGAAAACCAAAACTTTAGCAGTGAAATCAGTGAAATTGATTTACATGGAATAAATGCTCAAATTAATTTACAAATATATAATGAAATAAATCGTCATAATAATCATCATATGAATAAAAATAACGAATGGTCAAACGAAACGATCACGACCAACATCAATACAAATTCAAATTTTATTGCAGAATCATTAAATCATGATCATCTTAATGGCAGAGCAAATACGAACAAAAGAAAAAAAAAATATAAAAATAACTTAAATAATCCAAATAATCCATATTATAACGTTCGTGCCGAAAATATTAAAAAAAAGCAATTTACATTCAACTTGTATTGTTTACCTTATGGGGATTTATCACCAAAGATTCCAAGAAAGTAAGTGATGTGTACGTAAGTCGTAACACAATTTAATTCGTTGCAGCATATCAATAATTATTATTATTTTTGATTTTTTTTTCAAAAATTATTAGGACTGCAGAATTGCGTAGCGCCGGTTTAATAAAGGGATTAACCATTTCCAATGATGATTTAAATGACAAAATCAAAAATGCGATTGAAGAATTATTCCCATGTTTGAAAGGTAAAACCTGGAGATTCTTTCGCTGTAAGACAACATCAGACCTTGAAGTCGCCAACGAACCAGAAATCGGATGGAATGCCGGTGCATTAAAAATGTACAGTAATTACTATAAATTATTAAAATTTTTATTTTATTTGGAATTAAAATTTACATTTTATTTAATTTATTAGTATTTCGGGTGTCAGGAAAAAGCTGTATTTAGGAACGATCATTTAAAACTATGAATAAAGTAGTACAGTAGTTATTAAAACTCCTTAGTGTTACAATTCACACCAATTCACACACGATGAGCCATCTTGTTTCCTATTTAAGATTTTGTTCACGTTACCTTTTATCCGTTGAATTTTGCAAAATAATAATTTATGTAAAAAATATATATAAAAAAAATCGTGACAATGTGTTAATAGTAAACAAATATTTTCTTTTGTTATTTTGTCATTAATAACTAAACAATAGGTTGAAAAAAGCATTATTTCAAATATTATAGAATTTAAAGAATATCGGTTGAGAAACATTATAATAAAAACCGGATTGAAATACGAATGTTTATTTGGCCAAATAAAAAAAATTTATTATCTATTGTTGTACAAGGAAAGTTTTAAACTTTTAATTAAATGTGCAGGTTTTCAACGAAACCCCTTTTAAAATGAATATTTTAACGAAGAAAAGCAAGTACATTAAATTCCTTATACTTTATACAATATAACAATATAATTAATCTATATTTAGTAAATCTTGAATCATTATAATTATATATTTTGAGAATTCTCTGTTACCGTAGTTATTTTGTATACTTTGTATCAAATTTACAAAGTAAATATTGTTTTTTATTCCATAAAAAGTAATATTATATAACATTCAACAGGTTTAATTTGAAAATATCAAGATTTAATTGGTGTTTAAAATTTAAATAAAATTGCTCAATAAAGATGAGGTCATAGGATATTACAATTATTTACATGCGTATTACGTACGGTTAGTATAAAGAACTGAAAAATAGGGAGATTTAATTTAAACAATATTTAATTTTAATCATTTTTCTTTTCGTAACTAAAATGGAAATTATCATAATGCGAAAATATGCAAGGACCCAAAATTCTTGAATGATAATCCAAATCAATCTTCATTCCGCCAATAAATCCTTTTATTTCCTCTTATTTCCTTTTTTGGAACTGTTTTTATTTTATAGGGGCGTCGATCATTTTTTATAGATAAAAAAGATAAAAAAAATTCTTTTTTCATGCTTCTTTAATTCTTTTTAATTCACAATTTTTACTCTTGCAAATTTCCTTTTTTGTAATTTGATCCCTGATTAATTAATAATAATAAAAAAAAATAAATTAGAATGTTATGCACTATATAAAAAAAACTCGTTTTAGGTAAAAAAAATTTTTTTTTTTTTAATAACTGATATCTATTCGGAAAGGACCGAGAAGAGTACAAGATAACATGACTAAGCTAAACTCTTTATTAATAGTAAACGCATAAATTTTCTTTGTTCTGCGTGATTAAAAGAATATTCTTTGATTTTTTTCTATCTCTATAACAACAACTAATTCATTTTATTGATGATAAATTATTTGACTGAAATTTCACGGCACAACACCAATTATGTTATATTGTGTAATGCATATTAATATATTAATACTATTTTTATATAAACATTTTGGGTCATTTAGGTGCAAAGTGCCCATAACTGTCTAATTGTCTAATTGACAGATAAATGGTGAAACAAAAAAAAAATAACTACAATAACAAAAAATCAATCCATTATTCAAATCGACAAATCGACAGAAGTGTAACACTGATAAGAATTTTTAATAAATGTAAATAATAAAAATCATTAGCAGTTATTTCATTTCTTTTAACAGGCAGATAAAAATTCTTTTTTGAGAATATTTAGAATATCTTTGATTATTTAATCATCAGAAACGCCTGTTTGTTGGGTAATGTCCGATATTTCGTTTTGAAGAATTGTGAGTCATTCCAGTTTTCAATTTACAAATTTTTATCGAACAAATAAAATTCCTCATCAATGACATGCTGTAAATCATGATAAGAGCTGGGAGTGCCTGTGGGAAAAAAATTTTTTGCCTTCATGAATTATGATGCTTAATGTGTGACAAGATTGTGGCTAATACGGCAGCATTTGTAAATCTTAATAACGAATGTAAAATTCGTGTAAACAAAAAACTAAGTTTTATTTTGTGTGGCTCCTTCATAACACCAATAATATTGAGGCTAAATGTAATGTCTTAATGCCCTACGTAAATTGTGTACCATATGATCTCATTTGTTTTTGCTATTATTATTATTATTTATTCATAATCTCCTATTCAAATATAAATAATATAAATGCACTAGCCATGTCTATTTGCAAAAAAATAAGAAGAAAAAAAAAATTTATCTGGAAATTTTCACGTTATGTTTACTTTTTTTACAACAAGAGTTTAAATATTTTGATAATATGATACGCGCCACAACAGATATGGAATGGCTTGCCAAAAAAATTAAAAGTCTTTTTACAAATCTTAGTAATCATTAAAATTATTGTTCAGATTTTTCTAATGAACATTTATTTTTTCTTACATCTTTGAAGTATGTGTAGTTTTGAGCAGATAACTATATAACTATTATTTCACCAAAATTAGCAATAACCTACAATGGAACGTAAGTATTTAAACAGCTTAACAAGTATCAAGAATCTTTTTTTTTACCGCTTCATCACTTCACATAAAAAAAAATGAATAATTGTATATACCCCGATTTATGCAGTTGTGAATATACGATCGTGGCGTACTATATATGTCTTAAGTGCTGTAAAATAGTATATATACCAACTATACTTTCAAATAATCAAATATACCATAATGGACCAACAGCAGCAACATACTATCCAAATCAAAGTTTTTTACCATCAGCCGTGTACCGTCAGGATTTCGCACTAGACGAACTTGAATACACTATGCCAAATATCGTAAACGAACCTGAAGGGCCACAAGCCACATATCCAGCGATACTAACCACGCCTCAACCATCGTTTACGCCTGCTGTAGATCCTCAACAAAGAAAGGTTACTAAGAATAAAAATAGACACGACCCGTATAATATTCCCACTAAAGTTGCACGTAATATTAACAAAAAGAAACCTATTAATTTTGGACTTACTTTTGTCGAAGATATTGAGCAAAAAAGACCCATACCTAAAAAGTATGGTATTTGTATTTTTCTTGGTTTGTTTGTTTTTTTTAATAAGTTTCCTTACCTTTTTTTATATTAAAATTAGAACCAAAAGGGTAAATCATTGTTTCGAAATTGATTCGAGAGACGAAATAAAAAATTCTGTTGAAAATATTTTTCCCAAATTAAAAAATAGGGCCTGGGAATTTCTTAAATGTGAATCATTTAAATTAGTACCCGCTAATATCCAATTGACTATTAGCGAATTAGAAGGGTAAAATTTTTAAAAATTAAAATTTTTTTTTTTCTTTACCTGTTATGGAAAATGGAAATTAATAAAAATTTATTAATTGTGATATTGTTACATTGTTTTTTTTTTTTAGAATTTCCGGTTCTAGGAAGAGATTGTACATAGGTTTAAAAAGTATAAACGCGTGACACAAACTAAGCAGGTTTTCGGAGGTTTATTTTTATTATTATTATATTACCCCGCATCCTGAGAACGCACCTATTATATATTATAATTACCCCGCATCCTGAGAACGCACCTATTATTATATATCATATTTACCCCGCATCCTGAGAACGCACCTATTATTATATATCATATTTACCCCGCATCCTGAGAACGCACCAAAATGTCGGAAATGTCCGAAAATCTTGTATAACTAGTACATATTTAGTTTATATATATAGTTTTTTTTTATTTTTTAAGTAATTGATAGTTTTGTACAAAAAAAAAAAATAACTCTTTATTTGATTATTTCCTTTTTAATAAAAGGTGTATATATATATCAAAATGATTTAAACATAAACGTATACGGATTTCTATTTTTGTTTATTTTTGTATTCAATATGGGTCGGTCGGACGGATTTACTTGATTTACCTAAATCCCATTATAACCGACATTCACGATTATAACCCCGAAACTGAAATACAAAATTAATTCCTTCCGACACTCATTATCCCATATTCATTATCCCGTCATTCATTACCCCGACACTCATTTCCCATATTCATTATCCCGACACTCATTATCCCATATTTATTATCCCGACACTCATTATCCCGACACTCATTACCCGACACTCATTATCTCATATTTATTATCCCGAAACTCATTATCCCGACACTCATTATCCCAACACATACATTATCTGCAAATATTATAAAAATCATTACATAAGAATAAAAAAAAAAATATTAATTATTGTAATAAAACATTAATTTTTGCAAAACATTATACATATTTAATAATAAATATAAATTTGTTACAAATAAAAACATTAAATTTAAAAAATTATTATATATTAAATAAAAACATTAATTGTGCAATAAAAACAAAATATATTTTATGCAAAGTATAATAATATAACATTAGAAAAAAAAAAGATTTAGATAATTAGTATGGTAATAATTAAATTTCGGAATTTTTGGATCTTCGGGATTATAATTTGTCAGAATTGTGAACGTCGAATTTGTTATAAGTTGGGATTCCGATCGTCGGGATTTTGAATGCTCTCGGATTTTTGTGAAATAAACCGGCGTCATAAAAATAAAATAAAAATTTCGTACTACTTACTAGTAAATAAAATTTAGAACCATAAATAGTTAATACTAAATAACCTACAGTACCACATGCAACGTTTAATCAGCTTCAAAATATCCACTGCTCGTATCTGGCAAATACCTGGAAACGGGATTAAACATCACTCCGGTCTATATAGATTTACACGCACGTAATAAACTTTATGGGATTACGTTTTATGAAATCCTGCCGGTATAAACTTTCGACGCCCCCAACCTGCCCACCTAAAATAGGAAATTTTTTTGAAATTTTATATATGATCCCCGTGTGTAACCTAAACATAGATTGTTCGAAGTCCTACTTCTTAAAACATAATGTGCTGAAGAAGCGAAATTAATTGTTTCTTTAAATTATATAAATTGAGAAGTACTTTAACTAAAATTTTTACCATATTCCTCTGTAACTAAACAATCCTAAATATTACTTTACAAACAAACATTTATCATTTGTGATCTGATCGGGTATTACAATAATTTGTATACTTTACAAATTTACTTATCATTGATTGTATGATTGTCTATAATAACCTGAATTAATCATTAATATCATTAATACAGGCCAAAATAGTAAGGTGACACAATTCCAAGGATATTGACACTACGATAAAACAAGATTTACCATTCAACCATTCAGCAATGAAAGTAACCAATATCATTAGCTCTAGAAGTCCTTTTTTATTAACTTAGATTCCATTAGAAGTTTCCAAAACTATGGATATGATTTGAATCGTATCACTTACGGTTATTAATAGGTTTCATTACTACGCCATTAAAAGGATACTGAACCAAAAAAATATCTCATTTATCTATATTTTATTACATAAAAAGAAATTTTCGTTAGAAACATATTCGTAAATGAAAGAAAATAAGATTGAATGTGTGAAATGAAAGAAAAAAAAGATTGAATGTGTGAAATGAAAGAAAAATAAGATTGAATGTGTGAAATGAAAGAAAAAAAGATTGAATGTGTGAAATGAAAGAAAAAAAGATTGAATGTGTGAAATGAAAGAAAAAAAGATTGAATATGTAAATAAAAGAAAAAAATGTAAACGAAAAAAAAAAAATTGAATGTGTAAAATGAAATGAAAAAAAAAATGAACGTGTAATATAGATTTATTTTCCAACTTTTCTATTAAAATGTAAACGAAAAAAAAATTGAATGTGTAAAATGAAAAAAAAATGAGCGTGTAATGTTGATTTATTTTCCAACTTTTCTATTTAAGAGTCCTAATTTCACTTTTTTTCTATTTTATTATCCACTTATCCTGAATTAATTCATGGATTCTTTTATTCAAAGTATCAAGAACGGTATACAATTACTCATTAATTTAATAAAAAAACTAATTAAATCATTACATAATAATAGTAATAGTAGTAACAAGAAATGTGAAATATGTGACCTTTTTGATGTTAAATGTAAAGTAAAATATTTTCAACGAAATTTCAAAAATTGGACTAGTGGGAATAATAATATTGATAAATTTATTCAAAATGCTCAATTATCATCACATGTTGGACATGAACCATTAGAATGGATACCTTATGATAGACTTTATGATATAAAATATATTGCAAGAGGTGGATTTGGAAAAGTGTATAGAGCAAAATGGATTGATGGATATATAGATGAATGGGATGATGAAAATCAAAATTGGAAAAGAAAAGGTCAAAATAAATTTGTGGCTCTAAAAAGTTTAAAAAATTCGAAAAATGTTACATTAGAATTTATGAATGAGGTATAAATTTTAGTGACCTTTTTTTTTTTTTTTTTTTTTGAAACCTATTTTTACTAAAATATGATTTGTACTGTACTATTATTTTTTTAGGTCATATTACATCATAAAGTAAACAACGTTTTTTTTATTATAAGGCTTTATGGAATAACCAAAGATCCGGAAACGGAAAATCTTATGATGGTATTGGACTATGCAGAAAATGGAAATTTGAGAGATTATTTAAATAAAAATCATCATAATTTAAATTGGAGAACTAAAATTAATTATTTACATAACATTGCATTTGGACTTGAACTTATTCATGAAGAGGGATTAATTCATCGAGATTTACATATTGGTAATATACTTCATATGGATATGGAAGGTCGTAATACGTATATAACTGATATGGGATTATGTAAACCTGCAGATTACAATAATAATACTTTAGAACAAAACTGTGTATATGGTGTATTGCCTTATATAGCCCCTGAAATTTTACGATATCAAAATTATACCCAAGCTGCTGATATTTACAGTTTTGGGATAATTATATATGAAATAATTTCCGGATTACCCCCATATAATGATGTAAGACATGATAAAGATTTGGCAATAAAAATTTGTCTCGGACTTCGACCAAGTCTTAATATTAAAGTACCCCAAATAATTGTAGATTTAATTAAAAGATGCTTAGATGCAGATCCATTAAATCGACCATCAGCAAAAGAAATTCATAGAATTTTCGAATTTTCTGATAATCAAGGATTACAAATACAAGTTGATGAAATAGAAAAAGAATCAATTAACAGTATACCTTTAATTACTAGTTTATCACATACATCTTCTGGAGCTATTTATATAAGTAGATTACTCAAATTTAATAATCTTCCTGAACCAAGAAATTCTAATGTCACGAAATATTCAGGTAAACCAATAAAAATCAATTTTTTCAAAAAATATTTTTTCTTTTTTTTTAAATTAAAAATTAATAAAATATTTTTTTATTTCATTTATTAATAGAATCTTTACAAATTAATGTCTCCGATAAAAAATAACAAAGATTTTATCACGCGGTAAATTTTATTAACTTTAAAGGGCAAAGCATTGTTTTACAATAAAAAAAAAAGAACGTTGTCACTCACAGTCTACCATCCGTGAACTAAATAACTAAATGCAATCAATACAATCAAAAATGGTTCCACCATTTTCGTTTTTTTATCCGGTTTTGTCCGATTTTTGAACTATTTTCGGTTTCCTTTTCTTTCTTTGTTTTTTTTTTAATAATCAAATATAACTGGCGCACACTATTTTTGAAAACGACAATTAATAGTAATAAAAAGTATATTATTTGTATAAAACCGATGGCGGTTTCATCAGTTACTGTTAATCATATAAACTTTATTAAATATACGTCATCGATGTACAACGATTATTAAACACATGGTCACACTTAGGACGAAATAAATATCCCTTTACTGTGATAGGCAGAATGATGTATAAAGCATTCACGTTTAAATTATAATCTATTACATAATGTAATTACATAATCTCGGCGAAGTAATATTAGATCTCATTTTTCGCGAAAATGCATACAGGACAATTTAACTAAATATAATAATTATGACTACCAAATTTGGTAATATGAGGAGATTGATAGGCAATTTGTGATTTTAGTATAACATACTCTTTTTATTATTATTTATCCGTATACAGAAGTTCATAAAACTTCAAAATCGGGTTAAAGCGTGTAAAAAAATAGTTTAAAGGAATACAATTCAACGATAATAAAGATAAATATTCAAATGAACATTTTCTTTTATATGATAAAATATTAATCAATTTTCACAATATAGTGAAACAAATAATTATAACAAAAAGAAATTTAAATGGATAAAAAAGTTAAGTAAAATATTTTCAATTATTTTAACTAATAAGAATTTTGAACTCCAAAAAAGATTACAATATTAAACATATTCAAAAATAAATAACTATTGTATTATGTAACTTTGTTATGCATTGTTGTGTGATTATTCTTAAGCCAATACCATAATTTTTCGAGGCCGAGATTTTTTTTTAAAGTTTAAAATTTAAAATTTAATTTAAATTTTATTAATTTGTTGTTTTATGAAACCTTACATTAAAATATTATTATATTAATATAAAAAAAAAATGAATTTCTTTCAATTAAAAAATAACGCAATGTTACATTATCATTCATCAGATAATTTGTTTTTTCATTTGAGTGAAGATACTCAAAATACTAAAATAAGTATCCCATTACATATAGTATCTGGTTGTACACAATGTTGATACTGTACATTTATTAGTCATACTAACTGCTATCTTACATAAGATATTTTGACAGATGATTTGTTGTATGATACGTTATAAAAAGAATGGACATTGAATTTATTGGATTATTTATTATCTATAAACTATGAATTAGAATTACAGGGATGCGGAAAAAATAAAAAATTATTTAAATAGAGCTATCACGAATTCTTTTTCTCTCATAAAAAAAAAATAAAAATGAATAATCATTCCCATTGCGAACATATTATAGCATGTCTTAAATGCAATGAATTATTAACACTACCAAATGGAACAATATCAGAGACTACTACTAAAGTCACATATCCGGGTCAAAATTGTGTGAATTTTCTTTATTGTGGTGAATCATATTTCGCAAATTTATTAAGTGTATTTCAACCAACACGGGACACTTATCCAAGTTTACCTTCATTATTATCATTTACTCCAACTAACGAACATCAAAGAAAAGTTATTAATAATAAAAATAGGCATGTTCCATATAATATTCCCTCAAATTTTGCACGTAATGAAAACAAAAAACCTATTAGTTTTGATTTAATTTTTATTGAAGATATTGATGATAAAAGACCAATACCTAAAAAGTAATTACTTTATTTATATTTTATGATTAATAAATATATTTTATTCTCTTAATTAAATTTCCTCTCTTTTTTTAAAAAAAAATACCAGACCTGAAATAGTAAAACATTGTTTTGAGATTGATTCTAGAGAAGAAATCAAAAAATCTGTCGAAAAAATTTTTTCTAAACTAAAAGATAAGGACTGGGAATTTCTTAGGTGTGAATCATTTAAACTAATACCCGCTAATATTCCATGGACTATTGGAGAATTAGAAAGGTAAATATTACTTATTTATGAGATTTTTTTTTTTTTTTTTTTTTTTAAAAAAAAATAACTTACAAATTTATATATTACCATAGAATATCGGGTTCTAGGAAAAAGTTATATATAGGTTACAAAAAACGACCCTACTCATGAGAAAATTAGTTTTTGATTTTATTTTTTTTCACTTTTCATTTTTACAAATTTATTAGAAATCATTTAGTAATATTTAATCCTCGTTTGTTATTTATTTTTAGTTTATTAGTTAAAAAACTCGAAAATTTTCTTGTTAAATCATTGAAATTAATTGTATATATATGATATATTTGTTATTAATTTTAAACAATAATCCTCAAATATAATTTTCTTATAATATCTGTAAGTCATATCAATTAATTGATTGGAGAGTAGCGTAGGACTATTAATGGTAGTGGTATGAAGTTACGGTACATTTCTCCTAAGTCTATTTCACCGGAGGACTTTTCACAGAAGTCATTTCATCGAAATGATGTTTCGCCGAAGGGACATTTCTTCGAATGGATGTTTCACCGAAGGGACATTTCTTCAAATGGAATTTCGCTGAATAGACATTTGCCGAATCTTTTTCTCCGAATCAGTTCATCCCCGAAATCTAATTCACCGAATAGGACATTCCGCAAAAAATGTTAGCGATTGACATTTTATCAATCCAATTACCCGATTTTCATTAATAAATATTAAACTATAAATAGAAATAAACATAAAATATCATATGAAAAAAATATGATTTGAAATTTTCGAGCGAAATGACTTCAGTAAAAAATCCTTCGGGGAAATGTTCATTCGGTGAATTGTGTTTTGGTGAAATAAACTTTGGCGAAAAAGTCAGGATACCGACTACATACCGTGGTATGATGGTATCACATAAATTTAGGACTATCCCCCTGTTTTTTTTTCCTTCAACTGAGCGACAGACTTTAAAAGGTTTAGTTAATAATTAATTAAAAGTCTGTTGTTCATTTAAAATTACCGTATAAACGCTAATAATAATGTACCCAGGTATTATTCTAGTTAGATTGAATAGGAGAGGGGTACTATATTTTGGTCAAATATCAACATAACATCAGATTTTGTAATTAAATAAATACTTTTGATATTAAAAATCACGTGGAGCGAAAATTTTCGTTTTCATTTAAAGTTATATACTACTGTAAGGTTTAATTACGAATCCTGCCCTGAGGCCTTCCCGAGCGTTACTCATCTGCTGATAGCTCTAAGGTCACATATTAAGTGATCGCCTTAGCCCTGAGAAAAATACTACAATTAATTATGAATCCTGCGAAAATTTTACTATTTCACGTATATAATCTTGGCATTTAGTAACCTTTTTTTTCTGAAGTTATTTATAAGATCCATCTTTTATCCAATAATATATGTATTAATTCGAGTATTCAACGCTACTTTAAACTAAAAATTATCAGTGAATTTTGGGACCTTGAAAAGCACGTGAAAAAGCTCAAAAATTAAAGAAAAATGAATAATATATTAATGGTACGTAAATTTCGAATTAAATTTGATAAATTTACCGCCAAATTCTTGACTCCTACCACACGCTTTATTAAGAAGTTAGTACATAGCAGATAGTTTACACGCACTCACAATGTTATATAATTGTCACGTTTACAATCATATTTTTATAAAATTATAAAATTCAAGAGTTTTATAAGTTAAAATTTCAGGAGAATATTTATTTATTATAAAATAAGAAATATAAGAATATTATAATAATGTATAAAATAAAACTACCCGCATTAAAGGGAGAATAGAAAGAAATATGTAAGAGAATAGAAAAAAATAAAGGGTGAATAGATAGAAATATGTAAGAGAATAGAAAAAAATAAAGGGTGAATAGATAGAAATATGTAAGAGAATAGAAAAAAATAAGGGAGGATAAAGAATCGTAAAATACTATAACTATGAACTATGAACTATTATATAATTGACGTGAATTTGTGCCAATACTACAAATTGGATCTATAATGAGATAAAATAAAATAAGACAATTTGTGCCAATATCACAAATTGGAAAAATTTTCTTATAAAAGAGGACACGTTTTGTGCCAATATCACAAATTGGAAAAATTTTCTTATAAAAGAGGACACGTTTTGTGCCAATATCACAAATTGGAAAAATTTTCTAATAAAAGAGGACACGTTTTGTGCCAATATCACAAATTGGAAAATCTTCTTATAAAAGAGGACACGTTTTGTGCCAATATAACAAATTGGAAAATCTTCTTATAAAAGAGGACACGTTTTGTGCCAATATAACAAATTGGACAATAAGTCTTTTTAAAGTGGGGCCGAATGAAATCTAATAAACATAAATCTATAATAAAATTTTGAAAAAGGAGACCATCGTTCCTTATAACTTTGTTTCACAAAAGTGAAACAAAGTTATGAATTGATTTTATAAAATAAAAGAAGAACACCATCGTTCCCAATAACTTTGTTTCACATAAAGTGAACACAAAGAACAAACTGAATATATTCAATTAAAAAAGAACACCATAACTTTGTTTCACATAAAGTGAAACAAAGTGAAAAAAAAATGTCTAAAATGAATAAAATAATAAGAAAATTAAATGAATAAAATAATTTAAAGAACCAGAATATAAAATAAAATTAATCCATCAACGTTGAAGATGCGTGAAGGTTTAGCTGTCCCGTGTCGTCCACACTGTTCATACATTATATATATAAATTTTTTTTTTTTTTTTTTTTTTATAGGGAATAATTAATGCGTATCACAGACCCGTTATTGCCTTAACACTTCAATACGAGATCAAAACTACATCCCACTCAACGGGAACCTCTTTCTGAGGACACTATAATCGATAAGCCGGTACTAAAAAATCGAATTACTTCTTTCGTCGATAAAGTAGGGGAATATAGTGGGTGTGACGTTGGCGCAGCTCGTCTGAACTCAAATGGACATTTATATATTTATATTGAATATATTCGCTTCACTTATTTTTGGTAAACGGTGGTTTTTTTTTGAATGTGAGATATTTCTGTGAAATAATTTGTAAAATAAATTTTTTTTAAAAAAAAAAAATAACAACAGTGAAAAAAAAAGTTCCAGATAGAATTTCATTTAACCTTTCTTTATATATGATTTGTAGAGGTAACAAATTTAGCCGAATAAACAATGTGTTTGGTGCGATGAAATTACAAATGAGGGTCAATTATTTAAATATTAAATAATTGAAGATTGCATATTTCTTTGTTTCAATGTCATATTGTAGGTATACAGACTAACCATCTTTGTATAACAAGGGGAAAATTCCATATGATAAAGAGTAGATCAAAAGTAAGGATTATACAAAACTAATTTTTAAAATGAGTTATTTATATTTGCCAACTCTATATATTAATGTTATCAGCATCTGATTTCACCTGTTCCTTACATAAATTTGGTATGTATGATCATTGCGCATAAAATATGTGGTTAATTGTACCAAACAGTAAGAGTATAAACCATATTAAAGCGTGGGTTTGCTAATGCACTTTCTGTGGCTTTATAATCAGATGTTATAAAGAAAATGAGCGCTACCATAAAGACACGAAAGAGATCAATGGCAATTGATTAAAGAAGTTGTTTTTCAATTCGGAAGATGAGAACGTGATACGTGAATTGAACTTATGAAAAAGTACCAAGCTGGGTACGTTTCAAGATCGGCAAAAGCAAGGCAAATGGTGATATTTTTCCGGACCAAGAAATCTATGGAAAAAGCGATAGAAAGATCTAACATAGAAGATGGAAATAATAATGGATGAGAAATTAGAGATATGGAAGAAGTTTTTAATATCTAAAAGATAATTATCGTCAACATAAATAGATAAGTGCATACTAGTTAGTATAGAAAATTCACATTATGAGATTAACCTTAGTATGGGTTAATTTCATAATATTTTTGGTATCTCCGTAAAAAATATATCCGTAATTTCTGTAAAAACTTCGCGAATATGATACATTTACGGAAAAATAACTAAAAATCTAAGCAACTTGGATATAAATTCCGTGAATATGATGATATATTTACGGAGATAACAATGGAATAAAAAAAAAGGACCAAATTTTTTATAGGGTATATATCTTAGTAGTAGAAACGTTGGAAGTGAAATTCATATTTACACTCAATTTAAAATATATAAATATAATTATATATTGGAAGAATCATTGGTACAATTTGTTTCATTATATATGCTTAGCATTTATAGAATTTTTTGTTTTAAATACGACAGTAATTAATTTATATTTAAAGCAACGTAAAAAAAAAATGAAATTTATGATGAGTCTTTTATTATTTTAGATCTTGAACAGCTCTCAACACCCTATAAAAATTTTATCCGTTATTTCTGTAAAAATGAGCCTTTCACGGATCCATTCACAGAAAATGTAAATTATTCGATAAGTTCCGTGATATAAGGTTATTAATTCCGGAAATATGTGAGCCTTTTACGGAAAAAAGATGGAATATAAAACACGGACCGACTTTGTTTATAGGGACGATCTAACCAACTCCCCTCGAAGACTGAATATCTCTTATAAGTAACATAAATCAGATTATCAGATATTCTAGTCGGTAATTAAAGAGAATTGATGAATTCAGTTGATATAGCTCTAAAACAATAAAGACTGTATATAGTTCAGTGATAATATAATTCCGTAGCCTAAATACTTAAAGTTTTTTAGCCAAACTAAACTCACGGTAATTTTACTTCGCAATACTTATTGTCATAATACACTAAATACAGAAGATCCATGTTCACTTAACAAGTTATTTTCATTACATCTTTGAAATAAAAGTGAAAAAACTCTATAATAACCATACGCAAAATATAGACAGTTGTCTAGAAATTATTCTGACTGGTTTTCAAGGCAAAAAAAAAAGTTATATTAATATATTAGTAAGTTCACTACAAGCATATTTCTTCATAGGAATTAAATAATTCCAGTACTCCCAAATAATTTTTAAGTTGTCATTCACCTTTTAATGATGATGATTGCATGGAGGGTGCTATTCCATTTTACGTTTCATATTCAATCATTTTCGTATATCCTTTCCATTCTTTCGCAATTCTAATGTTATCTTTTGGCTTAAAGTATCAGAATTTCAGTTTTAAACGAATTTTACAAGAAAAATATTGCTATTTGAGACGAAACTTCTATTAAAAATTTTATTAGAACATTCATAGGATCTACACTATCGTTAGCGTCATAATACCCCTGCAAATTTAGGTTGGTACATTACATGGGTGGATGCTATATCATGGGCATAGTACAAGTGCGAGCGATAATATCAGTTCCTAGTATTATATCCCGGATTTCACAAATTTTAAAATTTAAAATCGAAATTTCTGTGTATAGATAGTATCCGGGTATTTTAAAATTCAAAGGAGGTACTATATATACAGACTAATAGTTAAAGCATAAAAGTTTTAGCCGAGTAATAATGAATAAAGAATTTATATCATATTTTATGCATGTATGAAATATGCTAAAAAAAAATTTCGTTTTGTAGTTTGTACCAAGATTAATAATAATATAAAGAGATTGGTTCTTCCGGCTGAATATATATAAATATTAATGATATCCCTTATTTTGTCTTATTGCATTTTACGTATTTTACGTACAAAAATATTGCTGAATTGATTCTAATTCATTAATTCATTTATTCACTAATGTACTGTCAATACCTATTAATTCTATGTAATATTTTTTTTATAAATGAATTTTCCCATTTATTATGTTTTCATTACGTTCTATTCAATACGTTGTTTACTTTCTGTTATCCTCATCACATAATACGGTTCTTGATGATAGAATATAAAATTAATTTCCTTGGTTATTTCTTCCTCAGCAGTTATTTTTTTTTCCAGATTTTCATTGTCCCATCTCCTCTTAATAATTGTGATACCAGTTGATTTTATTGATTGTGTATTTTCTTCTACTAGCTTCTTGCTCTCTACTTGTTTTTAAGCAACACTATTTTACTGCATGTTCATTTATGATTACATATTTAATTCTATTTTAAGAGTTTAAATACCTGAAGGAAATCAACATTTTCTGTTATTAATTAATATTCTTCACTAATTTCTACGATTGGTGGAAAGAGTTACAGTCAAACCTTTATATAACGATATGTCGGGACATATATGAAATTTTTAGAAAATATCGTTATATCAAAGTTATACCGATATTTATATGTCCTCACATATAGTGGGAAAATAAAATTTTATCGGTATAACAAGTTTTTAATAGTAGATCGGTATATCGAATATCGGTATATCGAGGTTAGACTGTATTATTTTTTTTTTAATATATTTTTTTCGAATAAAATATATATATATATATATATATATATAGTGCCATTTATTTGAACTCCTCTTTTCCCTCTTTCTTTTGATTTAAAATTTATTATTCTTTACATAAAGGTAAACTGGCGTGATATTTTACTATCAGTTACGAATGGCTATGGATTTACTAATATAAAATCTTAATATAAAATTGGTAAACCTATGATAACTAACTTAATTTTTCTAACCTAATTTTTCAAATCTAGTTTTTCCAAACTAATTTTTTTTTACTAATACATATTTGGTACAATCGGATATTCATGACCTAATACTTATTTACGCCCCTAAATATTGCAATACCAAAAAAAGTAAAATCTTAATGACATATGCAATGATATGCAAGTAATATGCAAAATGATTATTAAAAATTTGGTTTAATGCAATTTTTGAAAGGATATGCTATCTGTGAAATTTTATATGCTATCTGTGAAATTTTTTATATATAAAAATGGAGAGTTTTTGTCTTTCGTTTTTCATTTTTCAAAAAATAAAAATAAAAATAAAAATTCCATCACTAAAAAACCATTTGTTATAATATTAATCAGATATATAATGGATAATAACCCTTCACAAAACTCTGTAAACTTTCTAGATATATCTAACGATATTAGTGAATTTAATAATTATAATTATTACTATCCTAATAATTTTCAAGAAACAACTAACGTAAATCAAGCAGCAATACAACTTTCAAACGTTTCATGCGATAATTTTAATTGTTCTTATGAGGAACCGAATGATAATATTATGCCAGTATCTTACGTGAATGAACAATTTTCCTCTCAATATACGCCGCAGTATATAGATCAAAATGTCAACGAACGGATTTTGGATCAAGATTCACCTCAGTATGACATTAATTATCCTCAAAAAAATTATCGTCAATTTCCTGAATTAAAATTTGAAATTCCTGGATATAAAATTATCATTATACCTACTTTTCCTCTAAATTTAGATAATTTAGACATGCAAAATCATGATCAAAATGATCAAAATTATCAAAATGATCAAAATTATCAAAATTATCAAAATTATAATCATTCTTCAAATATTGTAATAGATGATTTACCACCTCAGAATCAACAATATCAACATTTTCAACAACAAAATTCTTCTTTTGAATTAAACGAATCATTTAATTATTCTTAATACATATATACATATATTTTCTCATGTTGTAAAATATTTAGCAAAGTTTTTCTTTTTCTCTTTTTTTTTAGAATAGGTTAAATATATCTCTTTATTTAGAATTAAAAGAATTAAATGTTTTATAATCAATTTTAAAAATAATAAAAAATATACTTTTATGCGTTTTTACCAATCAGTGTAAATGCATAGCTTATTAATTTTGTGTAGAATTCAATAAATGCATAATTTCGTACCAAATACAAACAAATTTGTTTTTATTAATTTCAACCGACAAACTTTATAGGTTTTAAAGCCGTGAGAGTTTATCATTCGTCTATCTTATATTGTAGCGGTCGAGTTAAATTACGATAAACTTAATTAGGGATCAGTTTTATAAGGCGACTTTTTAATAAAAATAAAAATACAAATTGGTTGGATCTTTGACACTCTCGTCGCATAAGAAGGTTTCAATCGACCAGAATGTCTCCGTAATACATAGATCTAGAATGTAATAGATTAGGGTAGTTATTTTTTTTTTAAAAATACGATTAGCATATTTTTTTTCATGTAAATTTTTTAAAGGAAGTCCTGGTTTGTGCGACTTTTTCAAGAATCTTGTAGGTAGGTACAGTTCATAAATTACACGCAAGCACAACAGTTCAAAAAGGGGTATTCAGCAGTTATTCTCGAGGGGCAAAAAAAAAAATTATTATTAGGATTACGTAAAATTCTTTAAAAAAATAGAAATTTTTTTTTTTAGGAAAAAATATATTATTAATTTTTGCGAAACAAAATAATTACACGTACATGAAAAGTTTTAAAATCTGATTAGATTGATCATTGATGCTATACAAATATTTGTGTACAATATGTTTTTGAATACTGTATTTTTTAAATGGTTATATCAAATGAATATTTATCTTACGAAATCTTTAAAAAACAAAAAAAGAAAAAAAGATTATTGTGATCAGATTGGTAAAATGGGCAAAACTGGGCAAAAAAAAAATAACTATCTGTCAAAATGTATTTGAATTAACTGTAGTGTTACAAATAAAAATAAAATTATTCACAGATATTAACTGTTAGATGTACATATAAGATCGCTTGTTGAAATGCAACAGATAAAATATGTGACACTAGCATTTTTTTGTGGCGTACATCTTTTCAATGAACCTATATTAGGAAGTTAATTTAATTAAAAATGGTTAGAGATTCTTAGAAAGATTTTGTAATCAAGTAAATAGTGTAAATTCCGGATAAATTTATTTCAAAAAAAAAAAGAATAATATAAACATATCAAGAATATTTATTGTATTCCGATATTAGGTTGTAGGTATGTATGTACGTATCACTAATGTGTATCATTTTTTTGATCTCCTTCTCCTAACCTTAATCTTAATCCCAACCTAATATAGTTTTATGATACATACATATTAAGACAAGAAGAAAGGTCGGAGACTTGCATCCCTAGATACAATTTTTTTCTCGTCGTTGCAATACTAATAATTAAATTAACGTTAGAAATAATATTAAATAAACGAAAATAAATAAATTTATTAATATTCACTTTTTCAATTCATCAATTGTCCAACCATTTTCTGGAGCGGTAACAGCTTCCAAATGTGCTGTTGATACGCAACGAAAGAATTGCCATTCTCCACCTCTCAATCGTGGAAACAATGCTTCAATTTCTTTTCTAATTCCGTCATCTGAATCATCATTGAAGTGAGTTGATTTTACTAATCCTTCACTAATCAATCCCTTAATTCTAAGAAAAAAAAGTGTAATGATATTTATTATAATGATGTAAAATATGAATACTGTACATCATGTATTTTATAAAACTTACATCCTGGGAATTTTTAATATTGAATTCGAATTCTCATAAAGTAAACAGATGCAAAGGAAAGCCTTTCGTTGTCTATTGCCACAATTATTTGAAATATTTGATGGTATTTGATCAACCATTTCATCTATGTTGTATGAGATTAATGGACCTGCGTATCCAAATGTATACGGATAAAATGATAATTCATGATAGCATTCATGATGTAAACATCTACACAAATTATCTTGGATGCTTCCTGTAACACTAAGTCTCTGACATCCACATCTACGTCCTGTCAAAGGATCTTCAAATTTGCATTTTCCGTAATAAGCCATTTTTGAGAGGGTTTAAAAAAAAAATTTTTTTTTTTTTTCTTTTTTTTTCGCAGGAGAAAATTTTTTGCATTTTTATAAGGTTTTTTTAGTTTTGATTTTTCAAAACTTTAAATATAATAAAAGACTAAAAGGCTTAATTGTTGTCATAATTAAATATTTTATCTGAAGTTATCTGCTTTAAATTATCTGATTTTTTTTTTCAAAAACTCATAAAATGTAATTTTTAATGATATTAAAGGTTAAATTAATAACTTTATTTACAAATTAGAATTTATCGAATTCTTTATTAATGACTGACTCATCCTCTCTCATACAAAAAAATAAAAAAAAAAAAGTACAATCAAAAAAAAGAAACAAAAACAGAAACAAAAAAAGTTCCAAATCTTATAGTACATACAATCAAGAAATTTAATCTAAACTATAATGTATCTTTAACGGTTTGATTAAGTTTTAATTTGGTCAAATTAAAGGAATAACCATATTTTTTTTATTAAATGAGTGTTAATTAGTACAACAAATGATAATTCTAATTCTTATTCTATTCCTTATTTTTTCATTATAAAATTATTAATCCATTTATTTTTATTTTTTTTCTTGTTTGTAATCCCCCCTAAAGTTCCCGCCTATTTTTTACGTCTTTTTTTTTAAAGTTTTTGAACTAACCGATTATAATTTGCAAACAATTAATTAATTTTGTATTACAGAAGGAATAACGAACAACACATTCTTTACGGTACAATCAATTGAAATGATGTAACAATCAAATGACCTTATGTGTTCAAATTAAATTGTAAAATAAAAAGAAAAAAAAACAATTGTTAATTAACCCTAAAATAGGAAAACTAAACACATAAAAAAAAAATATATCTGTTTAATACAGATGTTTTCCGGTATGTTCCGTGAATAATAATAATATTTCTAAATTAGGAAAATATCAATATATTTGATATTATTTACTTAAAATAATTTTTATTTGATAAATAAAATGATTTTAGTTGTATTACAAGTTTTCTATTTTGATATTACAAGAACTCTAACTGACTCTAGACTCTAACCGTAAATAAAGAAATTAAAATAATTTGTGCTTGATAATCTGATAATTTAAGTCTTTTAGTTCTTTTTTCCCATATGAAACACAGATATTATTATACGGAGTGATGATCATGCCAAAAACTCATATATAATTATGACAATTAAATGACTAATTGGAAAAATATCTGTTTATCTGTAACTGTTGTTTGTATTTGTGAAACGCAGCATCTGTAAACTTGATCAAATCGCAAAATTATTATTTAAAGCCAAACTTATTCTTCCGAATTTATAACTCACAAGTCTCTTTTTTTCTACATTCTAAAAAAAAAAAATACAAACGGTTCTTACATATTAATATGGAACAAAGCAATATTAACATCAACTATGAATCATTTCATAATGAAGTTCCCTATGATTCACAGAAAATTAAATTCAAGTCGGAAGAATACTCATCAAACAGTATCTTAAATCCTTCTCATGACTATTACAATTATAACAACCATCCTATAGTGAATGATAATATTGATACAACTAAAACCTACGAACAACAACCTATGTTCTCTTGTATAAACGATCAACATTCTAGTAATCAATATCCTTTGATCACCTCATCTTTCACTCCGCAAGATGAACCAAGTTTGGATCAAAATTATTATGATATCAATGAACCACGTGAATTCAATCAAATAAGTTATCAAGATGATCAATTTCAGTCTCCCAATATTCTAGATATCAATAATCCAATCGAATTCTATCCAACAAATCAAACTGCATCCTTTAGATTTGAAATTCCAGGCTTCGAAATTATTATTATACCTACATCTTCAGATGTTATAAACAATACTCAAATTCATAATCAATATTATTATGGGCAAAATAATATATGTGATATTTCTCAATTTTATCAACATAATTCTTTTGATTCAGAAATGTTTAGTAATTTAAATCGAGATGTAATATCACGTAATTACGTAGATAGATTAGGTGGAAGTCATGAAGGATATTGAATATCCTCAACGTAATTATCATTTTTTTTTTTTAATATTTGTACTTTTAGTAACATTAAAATTAATTTTTTTTCTCAATATGATTAAATAACATTTATAAAAAATTATTCTAACGTATCAATGTTGGACATTTAAATAAAATATATTGAGAATAAATATATACGGTGTATCATTTGTTTTATTAATTTCGTTTGCCTCATGCCTTATATCGCGTTGTTAATATTCTACAATAAACATGGAATATTAAATAATTACGTTTGCATTTTGTTAGAAATATACAGTAAAATCATTGCCAAATAATAATATATGAGGTAAAAAGCTGATTTGAGATAGTAAACCCGAAATTTGCATTAAAAGTTAAAATAAAAGGAATAACAAACCTAAGTTATTTCCAAAATTAAGTGGGAAGTTGAAATCATTAACCAAGCAAAGCATGTAATCCCGTTTCTATTAATGGCTAACGTTTATCACAATACTTTATTTGAAGCGATACTACACCCAGTATTAATTTCTAACTCTTTACAAAATAAATCGTAAAATGACTTTAGATTGCGCATAATTATATGGCTAAGCTTTCTCAGATCCTTTTCCAGATATTAAAATTATCCAATAACATGATTGTACCGGATGTAATCATATATTACATCAATATTCTTTTTATGTTGCTAAATTGAAACCTTATTAGTTTATGTGTGTGATTTTATAGATATTATACTTGATTATTGCTGTGAACACTGATAGTAGAAGCTGACTTATTCGTCTGTCATTGCGAAAGAATATCAGTGACGTCTATCCTTATATACGTGACTATGAAACGTTATTTACTAAGAATAGTGTTGCCGTCTGTCAGTTCACCTATATGCATGATACAATTGACATTAATAATTGGTATTCTCTTTATAGTGTGGCTATTGTCCTACAACCATGCATGTAATCTCTCATTCTACATTGTGATATTGTTATTTGCAGATGCGTAACGATAATACTATCTAGATCTCAATCTGTGCGTGATGTGATAATCAACTTAATTTTGATGCTCAGGAGGTTATCGTATTGAATGCAATATGTTTTATTTTCTCACTTTTATACTGTAATATAATATATTATATCACTAAATGTTAAAAATTACTTATTATGTTCAGTTTGTACCGCATTTACGGAGACGGACTATACATGTCTAAGGTAATTTGGCTTTACTGACGATTTTTTCACGTTTAGATGGCAACTAATTGTTGAAGTAATTTTTACTGTCATAAAATAATATTATATAAATATAATATTGTTAACTACTAACATTCCTAACTGTGTATTTTTTATTTGCATACAATCAATACAATTTGCCGTCCCGGAATTGATCGATGTAAACCCTGAGATGTGATGTAATATAGTTCTGTTTTCTTTATATATAGATGCAATTTGTAAATAATAATTAATTCTAATCATACTAATTACAATTATGTTAATTATGTTTTGATATTAACGTTTTTTTTACTTGATTTCTCTATGCTTTTATATAAAAAAGAAAAAAAAAAACTTCATAAAAGTAATAATAACAACAATAAATTAAATATAAATCTACTTTTTCAGCAAAATTTATTAAAAGCATATAGCATATGATCTAAATGTAAAAAAAAAAGAACAATGTTATGTGGCCTTAAAAATAACTTTTTTGATGAAATTTAAGTGTAAACATTACCAACTAAAATATTTAAATTTTTTGAGGAGTTAGTGCGTACTATTGCGTTTCTTTAATGCGGTCATGATATTTAATAATTTTCTGTACAATTTAACAATTTGTCTTGTAAATTAACAACTTTTTGTTTTATTTATTTAATTACTTGGTACAATTCGTATTCTTTGAATTATCTTCATTTTTTGGAATGGTAGATCAATCTTTGCTTGAAAGAAAAGCTTATTGTAAGTAATATAAGACATAATGGATAAGCGCACCTTTTTATTTAGCTGGCGATGCATTTACAGATTCGCTGAAAATTAATTCATAGAATGTTACCGTAGACCTGCAGGAGAATTTTGGGTAAATCTTTTTTTTTGGTTGTCCATTACATTCTGAATTTGATAAGGTTGAAGGAATTTAAAATGTGAATAGAAAGAAATAGGGAATAATAGTAATAGAAGAGATACATAATTTTACCTCTTTATGAAGTTTCAATTATCTAAAAAAAAATAATGTTCATCACAGGGTCACATAAATTCCATTTCTGCTTATCTAACAAATATATACGGATCATTATAAAGTAGCAATTTTGTAAGTTTTTTTGCAAATTTTATGAGTTTTAGATTGGTCAAAAACAAATTGTGTTTCATTTTATAAAAGAAACTACGTGCATTTTTTATATTTTGTAATTTACAATTTCATAACTGAAATTATATTATTCAAGCTTTTAATCAAGACAATTAATTAATTATAATATTTAAACTTGTCCTAAAATACATGGAAGTTTCTATACTAATTACAAGATTTTGATCGGTTTTTCAAAAGGGCTCTTTCAGTCTTTCTCGGTATCCGCTCTAACCAATAATCCAACAAATTTTTGTCGTAATTCAGCTTAATATATAATATAAATAAAAATATCAGTTTTATAACTTTTTAATTCGCGAATATTCTAATCTCTTTTCGGTGTGTCATCTTTGACGTCGAATGACAATAAAAAAAAAATGTCCGATTTAAAATGGAAAAGCTATCTCAATTTCAATGTTTTAATCTTCGGTAAAATGGATCTAATAAATAAATAGATAAATAAATAAAAATTACATAATTATTCCCGTTATTTTTAGCTTTGGTTCAACAACAGACAAATCGGTCAAAAATCAACTTCATGATGCAAAGGGCTCGTGATAATTCACATTTACTGTAATTCAAATAGTGAAAATCTGGTACAATTTGAGATTGATGTATTATTTATAGAATCTGAAACGAAGATAATTAATTTTCTTTTTTTATGGCGTGCACGACAAACAGATGATTTTGACAGATAAACAGATATCTTTGACAGATAAACAAATGATTTTACGGATGATTTTGACACAGACAGATAATTTTAACAGAAAATTTTAAGTTCTATTGTTTTTATTTATTTATCATAGTAATACATACATCTATAGAATAATCCATTCCGGTATTTTTTGTAGCCGGTAAGTAATAAACCTTCCTAGTTTTTTTTTTTTAAAAAAAAAAAAAGTGCAGATCTCAGCTTTTTAGTCACGATTTTTAATTGGTCTTGTTGACGTTAACGTTTTAACTTCCGAACGGCGTATCTCTTGTCCACTTGAATCTGTAAAGACAGAAATTTTGAATGCTTTGAAAAACAAGAATGTTTCAAAAACCAATTTGTTTTGGTGAAATCAAAAAGCAGAATGGTAATGTTAATGGATAATGTGAACGTGATATCCTATTTTCATGATTATTTCGAAAAAAAAGAAGTTTTTCTTGCGAAAAACGTATTTATTTTTTTTATTTAAAATGATGTACTGTACTTCCTAATCTCATAGAGTATAAACCGCTAGAAATACCACTACCCAATCTTTGAACTTATGCGTAATCAGATCTCAAACACCAACACTTAGAACTATCAGAAGAGGTGGTGGAATCTCAAATGAGTTCGATACATAATCAAAATCAGATTGGAAGTCGTCCCTATTTCGCCGTGATTATTTCTGTTAAATCACAAGATTATACCACTATAATCAATGCCAATCAAACAAACCTAATAAAATCAAATAAATTATCATCGATATTTTTTTTAATCTAAACTTATAAGTAAATAATGTGGAAATTATGAATTCTTTTTTCCTTCAATATACGATCAATCCTTTATAAAATATAAATGTAACCCCATATACATAATTTTCAAAATAAAGCATTTAAAGAGAGAAGGTACGCGGGGATTGGAAAACACACGTATAAAGCTCGGGGTTGAATTAAAGGGTGAATTATAAAGGGTGCATTTATAGAGAGCTAACTGGAATATATTTTAAAAAAAATATGCACGTAAAAATGGCTCTTGTAAAAAAAAGAATATTCTGGTTGGAATTATGTAATTCGAGATGATGCCCCGGAAAGTTTGAACCTTAATGATATTATGAAATAAACAAAATTAATTTAAATTGATTTATTTAAAAATATGAATTTAGGTACAATATTTTAATAAATTAAACACTGTATATATAGTATATATATAAAATAATTACAACGAAAAAGAAAAAAAAAAAATATATATACGTCAAATAAACTAAACATTAAGTCCTGTGGTGATTTAGGTTCATGATTCGATAAGCATCAAATAAGTTTGACTCCAGATTTGTTGCTGATTGATAGTTTTCCTGATATATTTCTGTTTGTTGATAGTTTGTTATCGGTTGAAAGTTGGTAGCGGAGGTTGAGGAACCTTGGTCGATAAAGTTTGTTGGGGCGATGATGCCAGTATAGGGCATAGTAAAGGCACCACAATCCGTGGTATTCATCGGTACTGGTTGTGATGAGGAGCTCGTGGATGCGGAGGTTGAGGAACCTTGGTCGATGATCATATTACTTTCGTCGACCAGTTCGACCGAAGATGAAGACACTACCCCAATGTATAGCTTCTTTCGACAACCTGAAATCCTAGAAAGTAAAAAAACATTTTTAAGTTACTTATTAAATATATTATATTACGTACTAATACATAATTAAATAAAATTATGAATACTTTGTTAATGCTTTAATATTCCAACCCTTCGCCGGTATATCGGCTACTACGAGAACTGATGTCGAATCACAACGAAAAAATACCCAGTTTCGATTTTTCAACCATGGAAAAGCCGCTTCAATTACACTCTTTATTCCATTGCTTGAATCTTCGCTGAATTGTATTGAATTCATAATACCCTTCTTTTTAAATTTTTTAATACTAAGAAAAAAAAATAATTTAACAATATTAACAAAGAAAATAAAAATAAGAATAAAAAATAAAATAAAATAAAAATACAAATTACCCTCTCGGTATTTTTGGCTTAGGTCCTACATTAAATAAATTAATCACATTAAAAACATTTTTGCGATCAACTCGTACTCGTGTATTTAATTCTTCAACATTAATCTCAAAATTTTCAACATTGAGTTCATCGGGTTCTTGTGCGGCAATGGAGGATTGAATTGATGTGGGTATAGAAGTTCTATTCGTGGAATCAAAATGTTGTGATGGAGGTTCATGATAATTTCTATCATGACCGCAACATGCACATAAATATTTTCCATTTTCAGTAGCGCGAAACATAAAACATTTACATTGAAGTCCACTCGTGGAATTTTTAGGGTCAAGATATTGATGACACTTCCCAAAGTTCATTATTTTCGTATTTTGGGAAAATTTTAATTAAATTCCTCCTCTTTTTATACATAATGTGAAGGTAACCTTGGGTAAAAAAAGATGGGATATGTGTATCTGTTATCTGCTCAGTTCGAATCGATTTGCTTAATGAAATGTAAATAAAAAATAGATGTTTACTACTTTTTTTTTTGGTTATTTTTTTAAAAAATCACAATATAAAATTAATTAATCAAGGGAAAAAAGGGAAAAAGCAATAAATTCATACTTTTATCTGATTTTATATCTGTAATTAATGGCGTACAAAGTCGTACAAAACCGTTAACTTCTGTGTTAAGCAAACCTATCGGTTGCCTATTCCACTGAAATTGTCAAGAACTAATAGTTTGAACAAATTTGTTACTGAACAGAATATCTGTAAATTGGGCGCTCCAGACATGTTTTGTATAGCAAAAAGTTTTGATATGTTTTAACACTTAATATCTGTTAGAAATCGAGTCTAGATAAATTTTAGTGGTTAAAAAAATATGTGCATTATAGTGGTTAAAAAATATGTGCACAAGATTCCTAATTTATAGTTAGGCAATTTAAAAGGAATTATCACAATTTCTTTTTTTAAATCACTTCAATGTGGCGACTGTGGCGTATTCTCTTACTGTGCCACATTGACTTCTTTTTCTGAGTTTAACTATAAATTCAGAAAATCTACATTTATGTTTTTACATGCATTATTGTACATGCGGTTCAAGATTAATTTTATATCATTATATTAGTTAGTTTATTTTAAATTCATGATGCTAATAATTATCATGTTAACGTGTAACCACGCTCTTTGATAATTGATATATTGAATAAGGAAATTTATGGAATTGATTTCAATGTAAACGACCTGAGAGTCTGAGACAAACACACATTAATCAAAAGATTTATTGAAAGTTTTGTTACTTAAAAATAATAATATGACTTTTCGCTTTGTTTATTTGTTTGTTTATTTTTATTTTTTCATTATTTTTCAAAAAAAAAAGATATCTAATAAAATAATACTAACAATAGGCCTACCCAAAGTAGAATATGTGTGTGCAAACATTTCTAACCTCAAAGAAATACTTAGAATTGAAATATTAATATATAATATCCATTAGAGTGGATTTCAGCTCTAAGAAAGCTATCGAGTTTTAGTTTGATGTAATAATTCTTTTGGTTGTCAGACATGTTATCCAACAAAATCTACATATAACCAATTGAACTCGGAAGCTACGAAAAAAAAAGAAAATAGCACAAGACATTTTAAGTCTTGTTTAGGGCATATTCTAAAAAATTAAACACAAAAGAAAGAACCTAAGAAAATCTACATGAAACCTCTTTGTTTTCATGAGGCCTCCAGAGATAAATTCTCCGAACATTTTATCGATCATTTTATCAATCATATCTAGCTTATTGGCTTTTTCATGATATCTTGCGGGCACATCAAGGAACCAATTTCTATTATTTCTATCCATTTAAAATAATGAGCATGGTTCGATAATAATACTAAGATATTTGCATAAGATCTTCAATTTCGCTACCTCTATATTTAGCTAAGTAATAAATATTAATAAAAGAATGATCCCCGCCTTGGGATCTAACAACACCTTCTAAATTATCAATAGCCGCCAAAAAACCAAGTTCTCCTTTATGTTCCCCAAATATAACTTTTATATCATCTCTTCTTTGTACTTCAGTGGGTTTTAAATATTTTTGTTCTACTGATATAGTCATACCATCACTATCATCCAATTTAATAAATCCTGAATTAGGCCTATCTACTCTTACTACTACTCCAACACGGCTATCATATCTACCATTTTCAAATGATTGTATACCATCTATTGGTACTATACGTACTTCTATACCTGGTGTGAGCCATTCTCCAAAATCTATTTAAATATTTTAAAAAACGTGTTATTAAAATGATGATATGGTATATGTGCATAAAATACATTTATTCTTACCTTTAACATCTGGAGGTTTCTTAGGATCTCGACCGGGATGTACAGCATGATTGGCAGAATGTTGAGTAGCAAATGGAGTTTGTGGTATCATATTTGCGGGTGTCATAGGTATATTACCAGGAGTAAATGGTCTTGGAGTAGGTGGCATAAGATTACCAGTATTCGCAGGTGTAAATACAGGAGGATAATTTGGTGCATCTGCCGCTGGTGTAGCTACAGTTGAATATCCCCCAGGAGTTTCAACAGTAGTCATATTCATCGCTGAATTTGCAGCATTCGTAGTTGAATTACCACCACTACCAAATATGTTACTTATATTATTAACGCTATTATTACCACTAGTACTACTACCACTTCCTACTATACCAGAAGAATGTGGTGTATGACTTCCTGAATCCCATGCTGGCGTTTTACTACCATCTCTACCATCCGACATTATTCCATATGCTGGAGTTTTACTACCAAGATCCCATGCTGGAGTCTTCGAGCCAAGTGAAGCACTGCTATTACCATTATTCGCACTGCTATTACGTAACGCCGGAGTTTTACTACCACTTAGTGATCCACTGCTATGTAATAATGCTGGTGTTTTACTACCTTCCATGTTTAGTCCACTATTCGTATTATCCAACAAATGTGAATTTGGCGTCATGGCGGATCCCAATGAATATCCCCAACTCTTTTGTTGTTTACTCAATCCTGTTGTCCAACTTGGTTCAGAATATGATCCCAATCCAGGACTCATATCCATAGAATTTCTACTTGATTCATGATTTCTCGGTAAAACCGGGTCTAAAGCCTCTCCCTTTTCACTATTAACATAAGATAGGTTAATATACAGCAACCACTATTTCTTTTTTTTTTTCATGTTATAAGCAGTACTTACTTGACATAAAATAGTTGTCCAAGTTCTACCTTTATAGTCGTCAATTTAGCATCAAATTCAACATCTGCCATATTACCATAAACTCCTTTAACTGTGCCCTGATATCCTTTAAGTGCTCCTTGTGAAGCTTGTACTCTTTTATTTAATAGAGGATTTTGATACATTTGTCGGCCACGTCCTCTACCTCGATCCCTTCCACGACCTCCTCTGTTGTAATTATTACTACTACGAGATCTTTGCCCGGGAATGTTAATTAGTGGATCATTAATTCTATTGGAGGTCTGGGATGGGGGAAAATTATTATTAGATATTATTGTTTTCAAAAAAATAAAAAATAAAAAATAAATAAATATATGTCATATTACTCTCGCGGATTCATATTTTAATTTTAAGTCTTTGGCTTTAAAACATGAAAACCCTAGATTTGTATCATCATCATAAGTTCTAACAAATACATTACTATCATATATACGAAAAACTTCATATATTGATTGCTGTTATATGAGGAAAAAGAATAAAGTAAATATTTGTTTTAGCAAATAATATTGCATTATTAACACAGATATCTAATAAAATCAAATGATTTCTTTTCTTACTTGTTTATTATTAATACTTTCAAATTTAGTCGTAGTGACTTGGTCACTTTTCTTAAAAGCTTGGGATTTAGTATCAATCAAAGTTCTCTTTATTCTTGCTGATGTAACATTTTTTATTAAATTATTTTCAGTATTCAACACATCGTATTCATAATTTTTTTGAGCTTTTCTAATATCAATAATGATTCCAATTGAAGAATCTTTTAATAGAATTAAATCAAAATATCTAAATCCTCCAAATTCATTATTAATTGAATTTTGAACACATTTTTTTAAATCTTTGGCAAAGACAGATATCTATTACAATTATTGTAAAAAATGAATAAATATTAAATCTTAATTTTATATAAGAGTTATAATGCAAATATAAAATAAATTTACCTGTTTATTGGTATGATCTAAATACATGGTCATAACATGTCTATCACAATTAAAAACAAAACCACTCTGTCCTTGATAAGGACCATTCGTAATTTGTACATAATCATGGACATTAATATTTTTAACACATTCCTCTGAATTAACTTTAAAAACTTTACTGCTATTATCTTTATCAGTGGCCGTTAAAACACCATCGTTAGCGGACGTCACAGTACCGACAGAACCTTTAAGAGATCCTTGAAGAACTTTTATTTCATCTTGTATTTCATAGACAGTAATTTTACTAGCTACGTTTGAAAGTTCCATCATAATTGTTTCTATATAATATAAAAAGAAAAATTAGTAATTCAAACAATATCTGTTTATGTATTTTACTAATTACCATTATCAAATTTCGCCTTCAAAAAGTCTTCTACGTCCTGTAATAACAAATCCATATTTGAATAAACCAAATCTTTAATCTTATATTTGACTTTCAAGTAACCTCTGTTATATGTTTTTATATATGTATCTGTCTCTTTGCGTTTACGCTTAAGTGAGGCACCGTCTTGATCTACAAGTATACGAGGGATGATCTCAACTTCTATTAATTCATCGGCAGTATATGAAGTGACCTAAAATAATAATTTATATAATTACATTTCAAAGCAGAATACAAAATAATGATAATAATAATAATAATATGAATATGAATATTTACCCGAGCCAGGTCTCCAAAATATTCATCACGTTTGTTAATCCTTACGAATGAACCCATTTGAATATTTAATCTTGGCCTCTTTGGAGCCATTAAATCTTGTTTTTCCTTTGGACTAAGCCTTTTTATGAATTTCTTTGAAGAATATAAATACTTATTACACCTCATAGCAGCCTGTATTATTGTGTAAAAAGTTATGATTTTAATAAACGTTAATTTTAACGTTTGAGAGCAATTCATGAAATAATTATTACTTACATTTTGAACGTCTTGTTCTTTATCAGCTTCTATATATACAAAATCTTCAATACCATCAATGGCAATAACTTTTTTAATTCTCAATGGATCAGATCGAAGTTTCTTCAAATTTTCTAATTTTTCAATTGCATGGTATACATGTCCTTTCTATATTAAATAAAAAAAAAAAAAAAATTTTCGTTAATTTTTTATTAAAAAGTTCCAAAAAAAAAATTACTATGAATACTTACTCTACACTTTACAGCAAATAACTTATCAACACTAGCAAGTTCTGGTTTACTTAAATCATCATCATCATCACTTAATCTACCAGCAGTACTACGATAACGTTCATTTAGTACTTGAGCAACTCTCTCAGCATCAAAATTATCTTCTGCAAATACTGATCGCTCAATATGTATATCAGCAAGCCTAGTAGAATCTCGATGATAAGCACTCAATTCAGTCTCAATCTCTCTGTTATCAATAAAATCTAAATAACAAAAATTAACTCGCATTAATCAATCAATTGATAAGAGTAAAATGATTATGATACTGGTAAATAGAATTAATCACCTTCTCTACCGTAAATCGCGTCTTCATCGTCATCTTCTTCTTCCTCTTCATCATCTACATCGGCTTCATTTAAAATGAATTTGCTTGGGTCATTCTTATTACCCTTATGACGTTTTTTATCTCGCTATTTGTAATAAACAAAGAAAAAAGCATTAAAAAACTAGATCTGTTAGAACATTAGCGCAAAATGCCATAATAGATTACTGCATACCCTTTTATTATCTTCATAATCATCGTCTTCATCTTCTTCTTGCACTTCAGATTCTTGTTCATAATCCTCGTAGTCATCGTAATCTTCATTTTGTTGGTCTTGTGTTGCTTCTTCACCTTCTTCACCAGCACTCCAGCCTCCATCAGTTTCATTAAGACGACTTTCGTCGTCATCAGAAAGATTTTGCTTTCTTTTTGACATTTCTTTTTTTTTAACACAAAAAGGTAAAGAAGCTTCTATAGATCTTGGTGCGTATTATATTAAAAGGAAGGACAATATTAAAGAATTTGTGTTGAAAAGTGCCTTTTTTTATATATTTTTAAAAGTGTGGCTCTTTAACAACGGTCACGAGTAAAATTGCTGACTAATCCGGAATTACCATATTTGATTAATTTGATCACGTTATTGTGGCAACTACGGTGGCGTAGAAGTAAAAGTAAGTTACACCCGGAAATGCAAATGATCGGATCGACTTGAACGAACACAATGACTCGACAAAAAGAAACGAAAGTTAAAATTACGCATCATAAAAAGTATCTAAAGTCAATAGACTTATTAGACTATCCTTTTTATTCATTTATTATTATTATTGTTATTATTTTCTTATTAATATCACTTCAGTTCTCACTATATTATGGAGTTTTCAGAGAATATATTGAATGCACTCTCGAGTGACATCTCTATCATCACAGCTGAAGACCTTGTTTATATTCGTGGGGAAACGAGGTAAAAAAGTTATAATAGACTAAACTTAACTTTATTCTTTTATAAAAATTTAATATATAAATATATGAAAGTAAACAGGAAAATCTTCGTATAGTAATTGACGCAATGGGTGAAGCGTCAGCAAGGGTAAGAAGGAGGTTTTAAACATTTTAAATAATTATTTATTAAAGATAATGAAATTTTTCACTTACTTATAGGTGCAAGATTTGAAAAATATTATAACAACTACAGCAAAATTTAAAGAATCTTTACATACTTTATATATAATGAAGGATCAAGAAAATAAAACCGTAGTCGGAATACTTAAAGTCGGGATAAAAAAATTGTTCGTTATGGTACGACTTAATTTATTATAGTTTTTTTTTTAAAAAAAAATTTTTATTTAGCAAACTTATTAATAAATTATATAACTTTATAAGGATCGATTAGGAAGACAACATGAAATAGAACCATTATGTGTATTAGATTTTTATGTGCATGAAAATTGTCAAAGATCAGGATATGGAAAAAAATTATTTGAATATATGTTAATCAATGAAAAAGTTGAAAATCCTTATAAATTAGCTTTTGATAGACCTTCAGATAAATTTAAATCTTTCTTAAAAAAATATTATAATTTAGAAAATTTTGTTCCTCAACCAAATAATTTTGTTATATTTGATGAATATGGTTTACAAGGTATGGGGATGTATATATATTCTGTATTTAAAAAAAAAAAGTTTATCGAATACTAACGAAAATTGAATTTTATAATGTTTAGATAAACCAACAAATTCACGTATACTTAATACATCATCAAATCGTAGACATTCTGCACCATATGAAAAAATTCCTACGGGAACTTATCATAGACATACAAGATCTCTTACACCACATCATCATTATTACCCTTCTTCACTTTTCGATTCTTCTTCACCGATACTCTCCTCCTCCTCTCCTTCTTCCCCTTCCCCATCGGAAAACAACTTTACTTCAGTATCGTCAATTAGTCATTCTGCACCTCCAAAAGAAATTTATGTTCAAAGAAAAAGAGAATTAGCCAATCAACAAGAAATTAGTAAACAATCTTTATATGGTAACAATCCTATTTTGTGAAAATAACAGAGTAAAATTTAGATGAGAACATTCTTTAGTATTCCCCCCTTTTTTTCTTATATAAATACGATTTATTATAGACCTTTTGTTTTTTATAAAAAGAAATAGATTAATTTTTGCTTCAGTTTATTAATTGCATTTTGAAGTTTCATCTCATACAGTTACACAATAGCTATACAATAGTTTGCAATCAAAGGGTAACACGAAAACCCAATAATGATAAGCATATCATAGAACAAAGAAAAACATCTATAAAGAAGATCTTTATAATTGATCAAATGATCAATAACATCAACTGATCTAAGTTAGATCAGCATGACATCTCGAAACAATTAGCATATTATGGGAACTACGTAATTATCGAGTTTATAACGGATTAAGTTAAGAATTTTTAGAGGGCGGAAATGTACAGAACATATAGAATTTTTCAAAGAAAATTATTTTCTATAATAAAAACCGATACTTTAGCCATAGATAAAAATAATACTATATTAGGATTGTTGAACGGTTTCACAAATTTTTGCAGTAGATTTAAATAGCACTCAATTTCTTTTTTCATTTCTTTTTTAATTTTTAATTCCTAATTTTTTGAGAAAAAAATGGGCGACTCTGGTACTGATGTAGGTACTTCGAACCCTGAACCACCACCGCCAAATACGCCTCCTCCCAACGCAGACACAAAAAATAGTCGTGAAGTAACTGAAGTAACTAGAGTAATTGAAGGTTACGATGGAGGTGCTAACGAACGTACTCCTTTAATTAACGAACAACCGAAGCCTATAAACAATTTCTTGCCAGGACAAAATAGAACAATAATACATAAGAATAAATTACGTGATAGCCCTAATCGTGTCATTTGTCCTCGTTGTTCGAAGACTGTCGATACTAAACTTGAACGTAACCCCCCTAATTGGACTAGTTGTTGTAATTCTAATTGTTCTTGGCATTGTTGTATATGCTATTCATTCTGTTGGTTTATACCTAACTGTGTAAGTATTTAAAAATTATCTTGAATTAAAATTTTGTTTTGTATTAGTTTAACTAATTTTTTTTTTTACAATTTATTATTTAATATATAGATTGGTAAATCGGTAGATTTTGTTCATTATTGTCCAGAATGTGACGGTAAAATTGCAAGATATACAAAATTCGATAGCTGTTGTTAGAATGTATTTTAGAATGAAATTTAGAATGAAGTATATAAAAAAATAATGTTCTTTCATGTATAATATACACCAATCATTAATTCTGTAACGTCACAAGTTATTGATTATTTTTTATCTTATCTGTTATAAAATGCCCCATTAATTCTATATTCGGTTTCGAATGAATTTTTAAATGGTTTGGCGCTTTTATAGATAAATATTATATAAATAGGTTGGTAATTGATAAAAAAAAATTAAAATTAAAAATAAAATAAAAATTGAAAGGAATTTAATAAAATGGCCAATCGTGATGCTTACGATAGAGGAGTTACCGAACGTTCTCCTTTAATTGACCAACAACCACGTCCTATAAACAATTTTCGAACGATATGGAATAATAATCCAGTACCTAGAAATACTAATACTTGTGATGCTGGTAAAATTTGTGAAGTATGTGTTGAATGCTGTTTCTTATTGCTTTGTACGTTTATTGTAAGTATTTAAAAATTATAATTTTTACATATTTTGTATTAAATTATTAAATATAACTAACTATTACTCTACAATTTACTTTACAATTAGACTGGTGGTAATACGATGTAATTGTAATTTCAACTTGTTCATTTGTCAATATGATGGAATTTCTTTTTTATAAAATAAAATGCTCAAATAAATTCTATATTGGTTTGAATGATTTTTAAAATGGGTTGAATTTAATAAAAATGACAAATCGTGATGTCTGCTTGTATGAATGTGTAATTTTTGTTGTAAGTGTTTAAAAGCTAACTATAACATTTTATAATTTTACATATTTTTTTTGTGTTAAATATAACTATTAACTTGTCAGGATATGTCCAAGAGAAAGTTTATTTAAATAATTAAATTGTAGAAATTTTCTTTCTTTCTTTATTATAAAAGTATGAATTGATGAATCAAATGCCCATTAATTCTATATTTGGTAAAGTCAGTTTTGTTCAAATGATTTTTTAAATGGTACTATATCTAATAATTTTTTGAAAAATATTCTTATTAAATGGACGCCCTTTAGTCTCCAAAGATTATCTATAAATTTTATTGTAATTTTCAATTTGTTTAGATTTTCTTATCTTTCATGTATAAAGTGTGTCATTAATTCTATATTTGGTTAATGCTTTATTTAATATGGTTTAATGTTTTTTACAAATATATATATAAATGGTTTGATAAAACAACTATAAAAAAATCCCCTTTTTGAATTTTATCAAAAAGAAAGGAATTTAATCAAGATGACAGAAGATAATAATGCATCGTTCCCAGAACCACCACCACCAAGTACACTAACAACTAATTCAACTACAAGTACTAATCGTGAAGTTTACGATGGAGGTCCTAATGAACGTACTCCTTTAAACCAACAACCAAAACCCATAAATAATTTCCAAGCGACAGGACAAAATAATCCACCTGGACGTGATACACCTAATTGGACTAAATGTCCTAATTGTTCACAGAGTGATTATAGTAGGATTAAATATAGTAGTCCTCCTAGTTGCTCTTGTTGGTGTTGTTTGTGTAACTCTATCTATTGTTTTATTCCAATCTGTGTAAGTACTTAAAGATTATTCATGAAATTTATTTTATATTAAACTTAACTCTCACTCTCCACAATTTTGTAGACTGGTGGTTCGAAAGATATTATTCATACTTGTCCTCGTTGTTCTTATGAAATTGAAAGATATACGAGATATGGCGGTATCTGTTAAAGATAATCAGCCGAAATTATTTATTATTTCTATAAATTGATTTTATTATTTTATGTTATGTTATAAATGAATTTATTCATTTTTAGAATTTTTGAACAATATAATTTTCACGTTCCTTTATGTATAAAATGCGCCAAATAGATCTATATTCGTTCAGTTGCAGTTTTATTTGAATGATTCTAAAATCGGTTAACGTGTCACATATAAAATCTCAAACTTTTCTTTGATAAATAATAAACGTTTTGAATCTTTAAAAAAAAAAAATAAAAAAAAAATAAATTTAATAAAATGACAAATAATTCTGATACAAAATCAAATACATCTAGAGATATTTTACAGAATAATGATTCAATAAATCAAGAACCACCACCACCATATACATCACTTGAACAAGAAGAAGGTGGTGCTTCAAATTCTTCTCGTGCAATATTTTACGGAGGCGCTACAGAACAAACTTACCTTCTCTCAAATAATATTACTTCATATAATTTGTCAAAACAACCAATCATTAAAAAGATTCAAAGGAATGTTTATTTACCTACTCCAAATTTATCATACACTCCTCCCGTAGGATATTATCAACAACCTGAAACAATCGCATTTAGAACAACGGCGATACCTTTAGCAAAAGCAAATTTAAGTACTATGCCAGCTATTACTACTTGTCCTCATTGTAATAATATTGTATTAAGTTATATTGAATATAAAAATGGTAGTTGTACTTGGTTGTCTTGTTTTATATTAAGTCATATGCTTGTTGCTGCATGTTTTATTCCATTTTGTGTAAGTAATTTTTTTTAAATTTATATTGTTATATTATTTATTTACTTATATTCATTTATTATCTTTTATTTATAGGTTAATGATTTAAAAGATGTTGTTCATTATTGTCCTAATTGTAATAAAATCATGGCAATATATTCAAGATTGAATGATAGGGCATATAATTATAGTTATACATGAAATAAAAATGTTAAAACATTAAGATCATTATTTATAAAAATATCACTGAGATTAAAATATCATGATTCGCGAAAAATACGACTCGATTTTCTTTAAGTTACACTTTTTTCAGGTAATTTACCATTATTATTATAACAGGATAAGTTTAGAATTTTTCTTTTGTAACTTAATGGGGGAGATCGTGAATACCAATAATAAAAGAGACTTTCTGATGCGTATACCAAATTTTTATCGACTCAACAGAAAAAGTTTTCGGGTTCCAATGATTTTTTTTTTGGTTTAATTTGTAGGAAACAAGAGGTTATAATTATCAAACCAATCAGTACCACCGTTGCCATTTATATTCATTTAAAGAAACGAAAATTGTTTACTTTAATTACAGTATATACTCTCATGGACTGTTGAAAACTAGGAGGAAAGTAAATCAGAAACTATCTTCAGAATACTAATAAAAGAGGACTGACCAAAACATTTAAGTCTCTCTCGCATGTCAAGAATAGAAACTATGAAGGGAAGTGATATATTTAATGATTTCTAATGAAAACATATAAAAACATTGTTGGTTAGTTATTAATTTGGTTGAGAAAAAGAATGATTCATTATTTTTTCATTAAGTAAGAAAATTTAATTATTTCCAGATAGAATTTCTATTTGAACTTTATTTATTGATTTTTATAATTTCGTAATTATTTGCCTAGATGAGGGTTTTGGGGCAATTCATTATCTAAACTAACCAGTTATGTTATCAGAGGGAAGATTACTCATAATTTGAAGTAATACGTAGTTATAACACTTTTCCCCTTAGAATTGTTATAACAACAGAAAGCGAAAGAGCAGTGAAATAAAAAACAATAGGGCATCCCTCGCCAACATTAAAAAGTGCATTATAAATAATAAAAAATACACTTACGGTACTAAATAATTACGGAATACATTTCCTTGATCAATAGAAAAAATGATGGTGATCACGTTTAATCGATTTTGAGACGAATCCATAAGCGTTCAGCATGTGACGTTAAAATTGAATCTCGGTAACACTTGATGATCGTCAAGAAAACGTAAATTAAAATTTTTCCGAGTTAAAATTAATTAAAAATAAGTATATAAGGCCTTTGTCACAAACTCAGTCTCATAAATAAAAATTCAAAATGTCAAGCAATATTGATACGAAATCTAATACAGTTGAAGATAGCTCAAAACCACCAGTCGAACAACCACCACCACCATATTCTGGTGGTAGCGATGGAAGTACTTCTATCACTGCTACAGAACAAACTCAACTTCTCCCAAGCCGAACAGTTACAACATATACTTCTCCATACTCACCAACACAAAATTTAACTTATCCTCCGATTAACAATAATGATAGATCGTATTATCAACACGATCAAACCGTTATCTTATCGTCACCCGTAGTACCTTTATCTGCTCTACGTACTATGCCTGCATTGACTATTTGTCCTCATTGTCAACGTTCTGTATTAAGTACTGTTCGATATGAAAGTGGTGGATGTACTTGGTTGTGTTGTGTTGCATTATCCTTTTTTACTCCTTTATGTTTTATTCCATTCTGTGTAAGTATATTTCCATTCAAGCTGACAATATTAAAAAGGTTTTCTAAGTTTCGTTCTGCTTCTTTGACTATTATAGGTTACCGATTTTAAAGACGCTATTCATAGGTGTCCTAACTGTGAGAAAATTATGGCAAAATATTGTAGATTTGATGGTAATGTTTATCAACATAGAGGTTAAATTTATTTTATCACCTTGGTGTCTATGAATTATTCATTGTAAGTCTCTAATTTGCAAATTGTCGGTACCATGATGATAAAACAGTTATTTATTCAAAAGTTATTTTGCTATTGATAGTATCTTTACTTTATATTTATTATTTATTAATTTATATTATATTTATTACATGCGAATAATTTATTTAATAAAATTTGATTCAATTTTCAAATTATTTCTTAAAATGGACATCTAAGTTTTAACATATTTACCACTCCAATCATGCCAAACTTCTTCGACGGTTTTAGCTTTAGTTTCTGGTAAAATACGATTGCCAATAATATAAGCTACGAATAAATATGTAGCAAATATATAAAAAACTTTACCTCCCAAAATTTCCCTAACTTCCAAAAATAATGAACTAACTAAGAAATTACATATCCAATTAATAGATAATCCTAAACTAGATGCGGTTGCCACAGAATGGGTATCAACTATTTCAGGTATAATTAAAAATGGTATAGGTCCTAAACCAATAGCAAATGTAGCTACAAATCCAATTATTGATAGTGATGATAATAATGCTAAATCATATGTTATACTAAATGCTAATACAGCTGATGCTAGACTCATTAATGACATAGAATATAACAATAATGTTCTTCTACCTGATTTATCTATTAAATATGCCGATACTACTGTCATTATGGCATTCATAATACTAATATATACTGTAATTAAATCACTTGACGTTGGTAATATTTTTTTTAATATTGTTGTAGAATAATTCATTACCGCATTAATCCCAGAAAATTGTTGTGTAATTTGTAATAATAATAAAACTTTTAACGCTGGTCTATAATGTAAACTACCAATAAATTTCCAAATATTAATATCATCCCTACTTGAATTCCTTGCATGGAATACCACGGCTGGTTCTGGTGTAGTAGAAATACTTTCCTCGATATTGTCTTGCGATGATGATGGTAATGATTGTTGCTGTTGTAGATTTTCATTTTGTTGATTATCAATTAATCCTTCTAGCCCTTCTTCTGCTGCAATTTGTTTCCATCCCCCAATTTCTTCTTCTACTTCAGTTTTACCTCTTAATTTTTGTAAAGCTCTCTTAGCTGATTGATATCCTCCTGTTCTTGATGCAAGATATTTTGGTGATTCTACCGAAAATCCAAGAAGAATGAATTGTATAATTGACATGGCTGATGCAGATAATAATATAATTCTCCATCCTGGCACATTTGACAAATATAATCCTTGTATTTGTGAAAACAATATACCAATTACAATTCCAAGCTGATTCATCACACCTTGAATTGGAAGTTATAGAATTGTAAATATTTTAAAAATAATATTATTTATGTATAATATATTACACATACCAAAAGCACCGCGATATTCTGCAGGTGATATTTCGGCAAGATACATCGGAACGACTACACTGGTCTATTAATAAGATTTTTTTTTTTAGTGTGCATATATTACAATAAATACATCTGTTGATTAACTACACTTACCACACCACAACCGATACCGACAATCATTCTACCAATAACTAATGCGGAATAAGAATTAGCGAATCCCATTACAATAGGTCCAATAAATAAAAATAAATTATTGCACAATAAAGTCCATCTTCTTCCTTTAGTATCAGCGACGCGTGAAGAAAGTAATGATCCTATCAATCCACCTAAATTAAGAATTGATGTTAACAATCCAAATTCTCCCTCGTTCATTGGAATACATCGTATAAGAGAACTATCATCATTTGGAGTCGGTAGATTTTCACATGATATTACACTTTTAGGCGTATTAAGTTCTCCAATCTATTTTTAAATAACAAAAATTATTTCTTTAAACAAAAATGATTAAAATATTGATAACATGAAAAGATGAATACATGATATCCAAATTGAAATGAGCCTAAAACAATCGCAAAGGATACAGCGATTAAATAAAATGTGAGTTCTCCCATGATTTTAGTAAATTAGAAAATTAAAATTAGATATTACGGTAGTAATATTTAATTAATACTTGTTCATATACAATTTATTTAGGACACAAATTTTGTGCAACATCTGCAACATCTGAACGAGCCTGCGCTTTACGCTTATTTAATACGCTACGTATGATATAAAAAAGAATTTCTTTAATTTACACTGGGTATTTATACATGTATCACATGACATTTAAAAAAAATTATGTAAAAAAATTTAATAAATATATTAAAATATATTTAATTAATTTTATTGTAATAGTTTTAGTTCTACCACTCTTTTAGTAATAATATAAAATAAATAAATAAATAAATATTTAATTAATTTTAAAAGAAACATATAGTATGGGTATTTTTGTCTGTTCTGTAAGTTTACTTGAAGTTTTTTTGCTAAATTTAATTCTGCCCAACATTAAATAATTAGCATAGAAAACTTACTTCTTTGGAAACTCATGCTTGGAAACCTAAAAAAATATATTTAACATAGTACTCTTCAAAGTATAGACTGAATATTTTTAATAAAGTTTAATATTATTATATACCTTCCAATACTCTATTTCCTTCTCTAATAAATTGGTTTATATATTATCTTGCTTCTCCTAATGCTATTGGCCATTGTTCATTATGTTTTAAGATTTTTCTTTTTTCCAAGTCATATATGCTATTCTACTGCTATTCTCTTTCTGTAAAGTTAAAATTTTGTTTATATACAATGTATTGATGTGCAGTCTTATTTTTTTATCCCTTTGATATATTTCCACTTTACTACTGTTTTACAATGTAGTTGCCAGATGATATTGTAAAATTCATTAACAAATATTTTTAAAAAAAGAACTGCAATAGTTAATACTATTCTTTTTAACTTAACAATAGTTTTGAGTTCTCTATATTTCCTTTTGAAAAGAAACTTCTTAATATTAAATGGATATAAAAAATAAATAAATCAAAATTAACATCAATTGTATGGGTAAAAAAATTTTTATTTCATGAAAATAGTTATTATATATCTTCTTACTTAACTTAATTTAAGTATGTTTTTCTTATAATAAAAATTTTTTGAATATTTAATTACATTTACATATAATATTATTGATTATAATTGTCCATTTATTTTTAAACTATCATATATTCATCATCTTCATTTTCTTCAAAATAAGATCTATACTTTACATTTCTATATAAGTCATATTTTTTTTTTTCATAATTTCTAATATTGAAAGCAAATAATTTAAGAATTTTAAATATTTAATAAATCTGTTATTTATTAGTGATATTGTGTAATTAAATTCTGTATTTTACAGCGCATAGTGTTTGTGATTATAATAAGGAAGCAGATAAGGTCGCTAAATCTGATGCTGAGAAAAATAATGTATTAATAATAGAGGATAAATTGTTATTACACAATGATATGGTTTGTTGGAGAGATATGCCTATAGAACGTAATTCCATTTTTATGATAAAGGGAATAAAGGACACTCAATTTATAGAAGAATTTCTAATGCTACACCGTAATAAAGTTTATAGACAATCAGATCTATTAAGGTTGATATATTTTTAAAGTTAAATAACATAAATCAATATGATACATTGTTTGAGGATCATTATTTACAATCATTTAGGATTAAAATTTGTTGTAATAAATTACCAACTTGTGCTAATTTAAAAAAGCGTAAGCCAGATCTATATGATGAAGATTGGAGATGTAATTTTTGTAAAATAGAAGAAGAAACCTTTGATCATTTTTGGAAATGTAGTAAGATTCAAAATGTTGTGCAAGATATACTCAAACGATTAAAAATTTTTTAGCTAAAATTATACAGGAGTATTCAAGAGATGATATAGATACACAAGAATTAAAAGGTAAAATTAATGAACTTGGTATGTGGGATATTGGATGCTTATATGATTTTACATTTTTAATGAAGAATCAAGTCAGTTGTCAGTTAATAGAATTATTAAGGTGCTATAAAATAACTGAAGAAAAATTGTTATATAAGGTACTGAAACAAATAACTGGGAGAGTTTTATTAGAATTCAAAGTGCTTATTTGAGAACCAAAAAACGAGTTACAAATAAAAGAAGAAAAGCAGTGCAGTATTAGCGGTAAAGATAAAAAAGCTAAGTCACATAGTAAACGCACTGAAATGGGTGTTAAAGATGTTGACTGTAATATGTTAGAAAGTAATTGGAATAAATGGAATGATTTGGCATTCTATCGAGGTGGCCATTGGGCAAATTTTTAGGTAGATCATAATAGTCACCTTTGAATTTAAGGTCGCATCATGGTTTTTAACAATGATGTAATCGTTTAGGTAACAGGTCAACTTGTTCTTTATAAAAAGTAGTTTTATTTCATAATGCTTAATTCTTATATGTATTTGTTTATCTTATATTTTGTAAGTTTATATATGTAAGTAAGCGTGATTATAATAGAACATGATCGCATCTATAATAAAGTTTAAAAAAAAAAAAAAAAAAAATTCTGTATTTTACTTAAATATTGTTTAAGTGATTTCTTCTTCTATTATATCAGTTATATTTGAAAATATTGATCTATATATATAGTTAAAAAAGATTATTTATAAATTTTCTGATATACCTATTAACTCTTTTACTATTTCAGTAAATGTTATATATTAGTAGATCCTTTTATTATAAATCTTTAATTTCAATATAAGTTAATTTCTTTATATTGTTTTTTGCTATTTACTTTCTTATTTTCTTTGAATTTTAAATGACCAATAACTTTTACTAATTTTATTTTTTAACTGTTTTTACTATTAATAAGATTATTTATACTACTGATTATATTGTAATTATTGCATTTGCACCATATTATGTTTTATTTTTATCATTTGTAAGATTTGTTTTTATACACAAACTTACAATAAATTACTGGATTTCTTTAAAAATGTTTAGTAATTTTCATATTACATGAAAGTTTATAAATTTCTGATAAAATTATTCAAATTTTTTTTATTTGAAAGCTAGTCCATTGTAGATTTTAAATTTTAAATAAAAAAGAGATATTTTATAATATGGAAAAAATTGTTTAATTGTTAATTATGAGTTATGACAGCTTTTTAAAATTATTTTTATATATTTGTTTATATATAGATAGGTTTTAAAATATCAAATATATAACATTTTTAATTGCATTTTTAAAAATTACAATTGATTAACTTTCAAATAACAAAAAATTTATTAAAATCTATTAAAAATTGACAGATTTTTGTATATCTAGAAGAATGCTAATTTTAATAAAAATTACTAATAAATTTGAAAATAATAGTAAAATATAGTAAAATAGGCATTTTTTAAGATATATATAACTAAGTTTATCAAATTTTAATAGATTATAATAATTATTTTTTTTATTTAAAAGATAATCAATTGTAATTGTTAAAAATGCAAATAAAAATAGTTGATATATTTGAAATTTTAAAAATTATCTATATACAAATAAATATATAAATAACCTCAAAAAGTATCATATTTTATAATCAGATAATTTTTTTAGTCTGGAGTGTAGTAAAGGACTCTATATGTTCTAGCTGTAGTTACTGGTCAAAATAGTCCAAATCAGCCAAAATTCAGCCAGCCGATTTTAGGCTGATTTATGGTCTAATGCTGGTCGAACTTTAGCAGATTTTTTGGCTGCAATTCGCTGTCACTTGCCTAAAGTTCGGCTTGAAATTTCGGCCAAAATTCAGTTAACATTCGGAACAATTTCAGATAGCAAATTTTGGTGAATAGTTTTCCGAATGTTACTTAATTTATATTGCAAATTTGTACTAAATTTATTTACTAATATTCTGCCACAACTCATTTTATTTGATATTCGCAATAAAATCACAACTTTATTTATAAATGCATATTACAAATAAGTATTGCTAATCTACAATTCCACAATCACATAATTCATGTATTCGTATATACTTACAAATCTTGATCTTTTGGAAATCCACCAAAACTATAAAAAAAGAAAAGAACGGTTAGTAACTGTTCTATAATATTAAAAAAAAGCAAAAAAACCCAAGATTCTACTTACGAATCTTTGGTTTTTTCTGTTTATCGGAATCCACTCGAGACACCAAACCTATAAAAAGAAAAAAAAAGAGCGGTTATTAATAACCGTTCATAATAATATTAAAAAAATAAAAAACAAACCAAGATTCGTACTTACGAATCTTGGTTCCACTTTTTCTAAAGATCCCGAAACCTACAAAAAGAAAGAACGGTTATTAGTAAACCGTTCATAGTAATAAAAAATAAAAATAAAAAATAAAAAAAAGAACTAAGATTCGTACTTTACTTACGAATCTTGGTTTTCTGTTGTTCTTCAGAAGCTCACTGAACTAAAAAAATAAAATAAGAACGGTTATCAGTAACCATTTGTTAATATTATAAAAATAAAATAAAAATAAAACCAAGATTCGTACTTACGAATCTTGGTTTTTTCCATTCTTCAGAAGACACTGACCTAAAAAAAAAGAAAAAGAACAGTTAGAAACCGTTTGTAATAATAAACAAAAATAAAAAAATAAAGATTCATACTGAATCTTTAATTTTTTCTGTTCCTTGGAAAGACAAAAATCCACCTGAACCTATAAAAAAAAATCAAAGGAACGGTTAGTAACTGTTCCATAACATTAAAAAAAAAGATTCGTAAGTATATTACTTATGAATCTTAAAGGTTCTCCTTTTTCCGTTCTTCAGAAGTCTACCCGAACCTATAAAAAAAAAAAGAATGGTTATTAGTAACCATTTATTAATAAAATTAAAAAAAAATTATAAAGTAAAGATTCGTACTTACGAATCTTTACCTTTGGGTTTTCGTTCTTCAGAAGCCCACCCGAACCTAAAAAATAAAGAAAGGAACAGTTATTAGTAACCGTTCATTAATAAAGAAAAAAACAAAAAAAAAGAAAAAAAAGTAAAGATTCGTATTTACGAATCTTTACCTTTAGGTTTTCGTTTTTCAGAAGCCCACCTGAACCTAAAAAAATAAAGAAAAAAACGGTTTTAGTAACCGTTCGTAATAAAGAAAAAACAAAAAAAAAAAATTATAAAGTAAAGATTCGTATTTACGAATCTTTACCTTTGGGTTTTTATTTTTCAGAAGCCCACCCGAACCTAAAAATAAAGAAAAAAATGGTTATTAGTAACTGTTCGTAATAAAGAAAAAACAAAAAAAAATGTCATAATTCGAGACAAGTGGTTATAGTTCGGGACAAGTGGTCATAGTGCGGTGACCATAGTTCGGGACAAGTGGTTATAGTTCGGTGGCTATAGTTCGGGACAAGTGGTCATAGTTCAGTGGAACATTGATTCATTTTCTAAAAAGATGTATCCTTATTATAAAGAAAAGATTCGTACTTACGAATCTTTATCTTTGGGTTTTCGTTCTTCAGAAGTTCACCCGAACCTAAAAAATAAAGAAAGGAACGGTTATTAGTAACCGTTCATTAATAAAATTAAAAAAAACAAAAAAAATTAAAATCAAGATTCGTATATACTTACGAATCTTGGTTTTTTTCATTTTTTGGAACTCGGAAGCCCTACCTGAGATGCCAAACCTATAAAAAATAAAAGAAAAGGAACGGTTAATAACCGTTTATAATATTAAAAAAAATAAACCAAGTTCCGAACTTACAAAACTTGGTTTTTTCCATTCTTTGGAAGTCACCCGAATGGCCAAACCTAAAAAAAGAAAAAAAAAGAATAGTTAGTAACCGTTCATATTAAAAAAAAATAAAATAAACTCCAAAGTATTCGTATTTACGAATCTTTGGAGTTTCTGTACTTCAGAAGGCAGAAGCCCACCCGAACAGCCGAACCTAAAAAAAAGAAAGAAAAAAGAATGGTTAGTAATCGTTCATATTAAAAAAAAAATAAAATAAACTCCAAAGTATTCGTACTTACGAATCTTTGGAGTTTCTGTACTTCAGAAGCCCACCCGAACGGCTGAACCNAAAAAAAAAATAAAATAAACTCCAAAGTATTCGTACTTACGAATCTTTGGAGTTTCTGTACTTCAGAAGCCCACCCGAACGGCTGAACCTAAAAAAAGAAAGAAAAAAGAACGGTTAGTAACCGTTCGTATTAAAAAAAAATAAAATAAACTCCAAAGTATTCGTACTTACGAATCTTTGGAGTTTCTGTACTTCAGAAGCCCACCTGAACAGCCGAACTTAAAAAAAAAGAAAGAAAAAAGAATGGTTAGTAACCGTTCGTATTAAAAAAAAATAAAACAAACTCCAAAGTATTTGTACTTACAAATCTTTAGAGTTACTGTACTTCAGAAGTCCACCCAAAAACCAAACCTATAAAAAAAAAGTAAAAAAAGTGAAAGGGAGAAGGGGAAGGAAGAAAAAGGGAAGGAAGGGAAAGGAGAACGAAAAAAAAGAAAGGGGAAGAAGAGGAAACAGGGAAGGGGAATGAAGGAAAAGAAAGGGGAGGGGAAGAAAAAAATTAAAAAAAGTTTAAAAAAGGATGATCCTTTTTCAAACTTTTAATACGCATAATGCGTAACGTGTAACATTTGATTAAATAATTCAATAAATCGACTATAAATCATATATGTCGAAATTTGGCCAATTTTTAATAATTTCCGAAATTTGGCCGAAATGTGTGATAGATCAGCCAATTTATCACATGACCGAAAGTTTTTATTTCGACCAGTGAGTGGTACAAAATATTCTATTATCTATCCGCTTATTTTTTGAGTCGACATTTAATTAATTCTTATATTACACAAAATTATCTTGATCAGTTAATTAAGCATGTAGTTATCTACCTATACAGTCAACTCTCTATAAATACACCCTCTATAAATGCACACCCTTTATAAATGCATCTTTTATTTAGTCCCAACTTGGTCTCTAATGTTAAATGCATAGTTTATATATGTATATATTATGTAAATGCATCCTTTATAAAAAAATTTTATATAGTTTACTTATAAAATTTTTGTATTACCTTAATTTTAGATTAATATTATATAGATTTATTTGAAGCTAAAATTTACATATAACTTTATACATTTAGAATAGAAATTAATTATAAGGTTTATACAAATTCAGGTCTGAGTTTTTTAGTAATATTCGGAGTAGGACCTGAACAATATATATAAAGGTAGGTTTTGAGTTTGCTTAACCAACATATAAAAATTTTTCCTATGTGAGATTTATTATTGCTTATTTGATAACATAATTTTTAAATAGTCAGATATAATTATGAG